GTAGGAGACCAGCACAGGGGAAAACACTTAGGTTTTGGGCAACTCTGTTTATAGTGGATCTGGCAATCTGGAGACAGTTTATATGTCATACAAAGAAGACAGGTTCCATATAAAGAAGACAGATCATCTATTGACTTCATATGCATGTTGGTGTTTCTTTAACCAGATGTTTTCACAGAGTGAAAGCCTTAGTTCCACAGATTTGTACACAGCAAGCAAGACGGAGGACGTGCCACACTATGTACACATCCCAATACAAAGGGCACTCTCTGTCTCTGTCTCTCTCGCTGTAATAAATTTAAAAAAATCTGTGATCAGATACTATGTGTTTCTAAGCCTCCATTTCTTAATCATTAAAATGAGAAAAATAGCTATGGTTACTTTAAAAGGCCGAAGTGGAGACCCCAGTGAGAACTTATGGAAAGCAATTTTCTGGCCCAAGATAAGTGCACAAATATCAGTTCACATCTATAAACAACTTCATGCTTTTATAGAGTTAGAAAGAAACATAACATAAATGGGAAAAGAATCCTTTCTCAGAGCAAGCTGTCTAAATGACTGCAAATATCCCTTTAATTCTTGGCTGACTCTGCATATACAAAGAACAGAAAGAATAACTTGGAGCCTGGAGGTGATGATGCACACCTTTAATCCCAGCACTGGGAGGCAGAAGCAGAGGCAGTCAGATCTCTGAGCTTGAGGTCAGCCTGGTCTACAAAGTGAGTTCCAGAACAGCCAGGGCTATGCAGAGAAACCCTGTCTCAAAAAGAAAAACAAAACAAAACAAAATAAAAACGTTTGAACAACAAAGCAAAACAAAAACTACCAAACAACAACAACAAAAAAAAAACAAAGAAAAAACAATGAAGTATAACTTGGGTTTTAGTGGACAGGAGTTAGATAAAAGAATCTCACCATGTAGTGATGAAACTTATCCATTGTTACTACTGCCCAGATAATCATTTTCCAAGGTGGGAAAAACAAAACAACAAATCTCAGAATGTAAGCACCCTTATTTATTATGGTGACAATGATAAAATCAAGCATTATAGTAAGGACATCTTTTGCCACCATGAAGAAGGTATTTGAACAGAACTCTCCATTTCAATAGATGGTACACTACTAAAAATCTCATAGGTAATCCAAATAGCTACCTTCACAGTTGGTACTGCATTTACACACTGAAAATCTGTTGAACTTACTCTTACTACAGGGTCAAGGGTCTCATAAAGGTCACAGTGGGCTGTTTATACACTGTGGGGAGAGACTGTAAAAGAATTGTGTATCTTGCTCCACTGTCCCTGAGGTACACAGCCTTGTGACATTATTATTATAGCCTCATCTTCTGTCAAGTGTTTTCACATGACATTGATCTTCTATTAGCTAGAAACAGTAACTTTCTTCTTTTCCTGTTTCATCAAAAAACAAACCAAAGCCACCCGGCTCACAGAAAGCTGTAACAACACTACAAATGGCTTATCTCTCCACTGTCACTGTAAACTATCTGGAAGCAAGTGTCTTTTCTTAAACAATTGCAACCAAATAATGAGGCCTTAGAATCCAACACTGATGTAGTCCTTCCAGGATACAGCTGCCTGGCTTTCTGAAGCCCCTCTGATGTCCTTGGAACAGATGTGGTATTTAGGCTCCCCTAGCTGCTGTCGTGGACTAGTTCTCTAGGCTTGCCTTGTCTTCGGTGCATTTGACAACTGAAGGCCAACTACTCATCTGTAGAGGATCCTTTACCTTGGGTTTCTGATGCACTGTCACACTAAGGGCATATATCTTTAGGAAGAATGGCCTCTTCTCAGCATCCCATAGGACTTCGATATGGCTATATGATTTAGACTTGACCATATTGCTCAGGTCTCCCCATGACAGTTATCTTTCACTTTAAAAATAATAGCTATTTTCTTTGAACACTATTTTAACAGGCATTTTCTATTGAGATATTCTGGATGGTAAGATAAACATTCTATTCTTCATCACTACTTGCATCTCCTCCCTATATAACTCCAAATTCATGAATTTGTGTTTCATTCAATAAGCTACAACTGGTCACTGTCTTAATTTCCTGATGTCTAGCCAGCTGCAGATCAAACAGTGCCTGTATCAGGTGACACAGACACATCACATTTCAACAAATACATCCTGACTTGTTACTCTAAAGTGTCCCTGCTCATCCTGCCCCTTCCCACACTCCAGCTACGGAAACCTCTGAGTGTCCAAAGAGTTTTACTTCTTTAACAAGTCTCCTCATACAAGAAGTGTGCTTTCTTCCCATGTTTTCGTTCTTCCTAACCACAGTTTCAGTCTTTACTTTGGTAGAGAATGATAGTGAATGTTGAGAGAATAACACACTACTTATAATCGCACTTTAATGAACAATCAGTTGGTGACTATCCAAAGTGATGAATGATTGAAAGTCAGGTAAATTTATGACTGGCAAAACATGAATGTTACTGACATTTTAGTAAATTCTATGTGACACCACTCTTTACAATTTCAAATTTATAGTTAAATCTCTCAATTGCCCCATACTATATCCTAAATGAATCTGCAATACTAGGTACCTTGTTCCCTACAATACAGCCGTGACTAAGAAACCTAGAGAGTAGTCTGGATGAAAGCATCTGTGACTATGTTCCCAGTCCTTAGACTGAAGAGAAACAGTACGGAAAAGACGCTTTCAGGACTCCTCAAACTACAGGGCAGTCATGGCTCATCTCCTTTAGTGTGACTGATGATGCTGAGTCATGGGTGAAACCGCTGCATTAAGAACATTACTTGGAACATTAACACCATAACTCTATTTGCACAAAAGTCACAAATCACTTCAAGGAGGTCATATGACTGCTTTCTTAGGAAAACTACCAGAACATGGAACTTGGCTACACAGAGCACATTTCTAAGTTACTAATATACTTTCTTTAAATAATCAAATTATAACTGGAGAGTATGGGTCACTGTACAGGCTCTATTATAAGTCATGAAAAAGCACATTGTTTTTCTGTCACTTAAAAATGTAGAAGCAGGTAAAATTCTTTAAGTAATTCACAGTCTAATAACTATGTCCTGAGGAGCACAGAAATTGTACACATTGTGACAATGACAAGTCTTTTCCTGTAACAGAACAAACAGCATGGAATTATGTGTCAGGGACTCTCAAAGGCTTGCTGAATGGATTTCCCTATGCATCACAATAGGCATCTTATCAGGAAAGAAGGGCTTTGCGGGCTCCATATGTACGACACAACAGACAAATAGCAGATCAGGCTTGCATACTGAGCTTCTGCAGCAGCACACACTTTAACTATATTGCCAAAGAACCATGAAAAGCCAAATATGACAGGAACGGAAATAAGCAAAATGAGATATATTTAAAAAATAAGAAAGGAATAAAGCAAGAGTGCCAAGGGAAAGCAATGGCAGCTCAGACAGCCAGAAAGAGGTAACAGGACGAGGGAGGCACCGCTGAGAAAGGGAGAAAAAGCAGCGCTGAGGCATGGGCACAAAACCAGACAGCCCACCTGCTACTCCTGGACACCCTCGTGACCGACTGCAGAACTACAAACTCAGCTTACAAACTGTTCTCCAACTTGAAAAGCTTCTTCCTACTCAGTCTTTGCTTTCTTTCATACCAGAAAGCATACAGATTTAAGTACATCCTGAAAGGACAGTTTGTTTCATAAGCTCAAAGAAGGGACACCTGCAACTAGGTAGACTCAGACGGAGCACTGACTATCAAGAGTCATGTAATACGCTGACACTTCTCTCATCACCTTGAACTCACAAAGATCCAAGCAAGTCTCCATGCTAGGAACTTATCAGCACTTAAGAAGCCAGGTCAATAGGGTGTTTACAGCCTGGTTCCATGGTGCACATCTGTGTGGGGTAACCTGATGCAGGGTGCTGGACTACAATCAGGCCAAAGCCTGCTCTGGCTTCAGGGGAGAGGACTCAGGAGTTGGGGAAGGGAGAGAATGTGGGAAAGATGAGATGGGGATATGCCGGACACAATCATCAGAGCATGCCACAGTCTGCACAGTAAAAAGGGCACCAGCATTGGGTGAGGCACTGTGGTGGTGGTCTGGTACAGGATGGCCAAGGGTCCAAGCTGGATGAAAAAAGCGCTGTTGCAATGAAGGGGGCAGTAAAAAGTTTGGTTATACATTAAGAGGACTGATCAGAATAAGTAACTATGTTAAGGAGTCTAGGAGCTGTGTCTCACTGTGAGAGGAGTTACAAGTATGGGAAATGGCAAAGCCAAGAACAAACCAGACAGAACTGGACACAACTTGTAAGCATCAGCATCCACTTCAGAGTCTTTGGTAGATACACACAATTAGAAATGGGTATGTGTGTGTGTGCATCTGTGCACAAGTGGGCGCACATACACACACACACCCTCTCTACTGAGAAAGCTTGGGAACTCATATGTCACTAATAACAAGCATTTCTAGTTCTCAGACCTTGATTTCTAAATACCATTCTTTTTTTTTTTTTTGAGACAGGGTTTCTCTGTGAAGCTTTAGAGCCTATCCTGGCACTTGCTCTATAGCTCAGGCTGGCCTCGAACTCACAGAGACCCACCTGCCTCTGCCTCTTGAGTGCTGGGATTAAAGGCCTGCACCACCAACACTTGGCAATACCATTCTTTAGAAAGAAAGAAGAAAGAAAAAAGGGAAGAAAGAAAGAAAGAAAAATTGGAACATCATGTTATATGGTCAGACAATACTGAGTAGTAAGAGATGAATGAGTCTAAGTGAACTCTAACTTTGGGAGTTACTAGGAGAAAAATCTTTATTCCTAGGAAACACATATTCAAGTATTTAGAAGTGGTAAGATTTTAGGTCAATGCTGTATTTTAGCACTGCAGAAGAAACAAGTTCTTCCTTGGTAGCCGTAACTTTCCTTTCAGCTGGAGATTAAATGGGCGAAGAGCCATGGGGAAGAGGAAGGGATCCAGGAGGCTGGGGTGGGAGGAAGTAAGTACTTACTCAGATCTTCAGCCAGCTGAACCCGTTTACCAGTAAGCAATTTAATCTTCTTCTCACCATCTTCAGCAAAATCTTCTAATACCTCCTTAACGTTTTTTTCTAGTCGCCTAACTGTTCAAAGTAAATAAAAACAGAAGAGCACTGTTTTATGAGTGTATGGAATGAAAAACTTTTACATACAATGGAAATCTGTATCACCTTGTTAGTTCTACACTTGAATTCACACTTCTCACTTTCTAGTGCATTTATCAGCATAAATCTGGCTCATATTCCGAGGACCACATGTTCTTAGGCCATAACACGGAACAGACATACAAATTCCAAAACACAAAGCAATGCGCATAATACCACTCTTTTTATCATAATTTTTATCTAATGGAAGTAGATACACAGCGTCTTTTATCCCTATCATTTTCTAATTGTAATTTCTCTTTTATTAATTCCAATTCTGAGGTCTTCTAATCAATCTGGTTTTTAGGAGTTACCTTCAGTGTTTGTGAGCTGCTGCCTTAATGTATTGGCAGTGATGGCCAGCATGCGCTGTATTCGCCAAAACAGGACCACGTCATTGCATTCCAGCTGAAGTAGTAAACAGTTAAGGTCAGATGCAAACTTAAAACATAAAACCTATTTCCTAAGTCTTACTAAAATATCAGTGCTTATCTAATAATACATACAAGTTTCCTTTGAGCTGAAATAAACCAGAAAAGCACTTACAAGCTTCAACTTAATAACAACACAGATTTACAGAGCCTTTTCAAGGGCCACTTTAAAGCATTTTTGTTGTTTGTAAGAAAATACTCGAAAAGTATTGGTCTGCTGCCACCTAGGGGTTACTTTAGAATGTGTGAGAGCTATGTTCATTACAAGAACTAGTTTTTTTTTTTTTTTTTTTAGAAAAAGCAAAGATGTCAGTGATGTGAGAAAAGGATCATGACACATAAAAAATACATAACAAAATAGTTTTGCTATATGGTCCCCACCATGCATGTGGTTGGCTATGCTCTATACACATCCTCCTCTTATAGAAAAACAAAAACATTTCAAGTTACTCTAGGGTATACATGACTACACTTCCCCATACTCCCTTCTTAGCCCCTGATGATACACATGAAAGGCAGTCATTCCTAAACTGGCAAATCTCTGAAAAGATAAAAGGTTATTCTTTAAGTTACCCATTCTTTTCTCCCAGATGCTCAAGGGTTTAAAAGTTAATAGTAAGCTGGGCGGTGGTGGCGCACGCCTTTAATCCCAGGAGGCAGAGGCAGGGGATCTCTGTGAGTTCGAGACCAAGCCTGGTCTGCCGAGCAAGTTCCAGGACAGGCTCCAAAACAATACAGAGAAACCCTGTCTCAAAACACCAAAAAAAAAAAAAAAAAGTTAATAGTAAAGCTGAAGTTTACTTTTTACCATCTTCCAACAATTGTTGCTAAAACCTCACCTCAGAATCTATAAAGTGCCTCTGGTAGTAATAAAAACCTCTTCGACAAAGGTTACAATGATTTAGAGCTGTCTTTAAGAAATGTCTTCTATAAACTTGATGCCAAGTATCCTTAATCTAAAATGAGAAAAGGAAAACCAAAGTATTATGGCATGTTGACCACTGAGAAGTTACATTAATTAATACATTTATTTTTAGTTCATTGAAAGCAACATCAATGTTCGTATTCTACCAACCTTTTTCATCTACTTCCCTCATTCAAGTCAGATATCAGATTTACTAGTTTTCACACAACCAAATCTATGAAGTTCTAAGCAAGCCTTGTAGCTATAGCCACACACTTATTGTAGGGTAGGCTGGTAAGGGTGGATGTTTACAAAGCTAGCAGTGGGGAAATCAAGGACAATGATAGGACCTGGAAGCTGGTCTCAGACCATGCTCACCAATGTCAACAGACTGAAAGCAATCCTTTCTATTGTGTTCCCACCACTGTGGCACTATGGTCTGTCAGAGTATTTAATGTTCATCACATATCGTAACAACAACAATAATCCCAGCAGGCACAACAGGTACCAACCCCACTTGACAGATGAAGACAGCAGGACTTGAATTATCAATTACTAAAGGGAGCAGTTCTAGTAATACAATGGAACTAGGTGAGAATGCCATCTCCTGACAGCCCATATTCTCTGGCTATTATGGCAGCTTTATAGAATGTTCTAAACAAAGTGTCACTAGAAAGAAAGAAAACAACAACAACAAAAAAAAAAAAACCAAAAACAAACTGAGACGTTCTTGCCTGCAGAAAGTAGCAACCTATTCCACTCTACTTCCAAGAGAAATCCTTACTGTATTAACCTAAGAGCCATAAAATTAAAAGTATCAAAGTACACAAAGCTTGAGTATTCCCGGCCCAACATACATAAGACAGAACTGTTGGCATGTGGGACTTTTGGGTGGGATGATTTTGTAATATTTACATATATACTTTGGAGGTGGGATAAAGGTCTAAATACAAAATTCACTTATGTTTTATATATACATTACACACATAGTCTAAAACTAATTTTATGCACTATAATAGTGTGCCTGGATTTTGAATCCAACCACTCCCACAAAGAACTGTCATGTGATATCAGTTGGAGGGGATAAAGTTTCAGGTTTTGGAGCATTTCCATTTTCCCCTTTTGAATCAGGAGCGGATGCTCAATTTGTATGGCCTCTTTTTTTTTTTTTTTTTTTTTTTCCTTTTTTGAGATAGTAGCTCTGGCTGTCTTGGAACTTGCTCTGTATACCAGGGTGGCCTTGAACTCATCACATATGGCTATATGACCTTTTATTAACGAGTTAGGACCATGTAGACAAACTGGATCTACACCCAGCAAGAAGTTTCCTGTTCAGTTTATAGACAATGTGACCCGTACAGCAGCTTGGGTTCTTATCGGTTTCCCTGTTTTCACCTCAGGTAGAATTTAAAGGAAGTACAGAAACACAAAAGCAGGTGATATTTAAGAGTAATCAAGGTGCTTGGAAAGTTTTCAGGTTGTTTTCCTCAATAGATTTATTTTTCTAATGTTGGTGCCCCACATGGGGTTTCCCAGGTCATCTAGGAGAACAAGTGCTCTTAACTGCAGGGGCCACGTTTCCAGCCCCTAAGCTAACCTTTAAAGACTCTCAGTCCCTTATATTCTAACTTCTAAGCAGTAGGAAACACAGATGCAGGAACTTTTAAAATTCTGCTGCAAGTAAGTATTATGAAGCTAAGAAATGTGGCTGAATGTGTAGACTATCTTTGTTCTCTTGTCAGGAATGAGGTCTTATCTAATTTAATAAAAATTGAAATGCATGTTTTCCCCCTAAGTTCACTTATATCCAATTGAGCTACATTGACTGTAAACACTATAAACATTATCAAAGTTGCTGGGAATGGTGGCATGTCCCCATTTAACACTGGCACAGCACTTGCGAGGCAGAGGCGGGTGGATCTTTGTGAGTTTGTGGCCAACTTGGCCTATAAAATAAGTTCCAGGTTAGCTAAGGCTATATAGTGAGACATGGTCTAAAACAAACAATCAAAAAAACAAACCCTATCAAAAAACAAAACAAAACAATACAACTATGCTCCCCCAACACACAAATATCTGTCTATATAAGTAGGGCACATTTAGACAAAAGCCAATTGTATTCTAAAACCATAAATTGAAGCCAAGACAAGGTCTGAGAATGCCTTTTAGGAATTGCTCTAACGACCTATGTAAACCCAACTTTCTAAATCTTAATTTCTCTAGTTACCCTTTAAAAAGCAAACTGCAATAAAAATTGCTACTCTTCATATACTCAAATGATGATAACTATACAGTCACAGTGCACACAGTCCCAGTAGATTTTATCATGTAGATTTTAGGTAGCTCACGAGGAAGGAGTACTGCACCATAAGGACCGCTGATTCAAAAAGAAAGCCCCGCCCCCTTTCTTTTTCCAAGCAGTCTCTTGTAGTCTGAGCTACTCAGCCTCACTTTGAAGCCTGAACTCCTGCCTCCACATTCCAAGTATTGCATCCATCACCACACCTGGCTTTCAGGGTATTTGTTTCTCCCCAGAGCTGAGGACCAAACCCAGAGCCTTGTGCTTGTTAGGCCAGCAGTCTACCGATGAGCTAAATCCCAATGCTTGTATGTTTTTCTTACCAAGCTTGGATCTACTTCGACTCCTCGCGACTCCAGGTTCTTCCTGACTGTGGTAATCTCATCACTTGCAAGATAAGCTGGATGCTCCTCATTACACTTCAGCATCTTCTCCAATTCATTCTTGGTTTCATTGTGAACACCCTTTAACAAGTTAAAGGAAGGCTGTTTAGACAGTTCAAGCTTGGCACTTGTGGAAAATAGAGGCCCATTTTAATAAGTGTATTACTACTGCACCATTACTGTTAATTATGATAAGGAAGGACATAAATTAGGAAGCCTATGAACGCTGAGCCACTCACCTTATGAGTGATTTATTGGTGAAATCATAGCACCAAGCTCCTTAGGACAGGCTTTCATTCTTGCCTGCAGAGTATAATTAGTGTCTAAGAGAAAGTCTCTATGTAGGGCTATGTGGAAAAAGCAATATCCCATAAATTCCTTCAATGACTCAAGACTTTGTCAAGTGTTTCCATTCTAACCAATGAAATATCAAGTGTGTAGTTTGATGCTTTTCAAAAGGTCTTCCATTAAAAAAAAATCATACTTCGAACTATACCTGAAGTATTCTTAATTCACTTTCAGTCTCTTCTTTGCAACTATGCATTAATCTCAGCAAAGGAAGACAACATATACACTAATTAAAAGTTTTAAAATAAGACTCTTAACACTACTCATTTATGTTCTTAATCTTTCATTCAGACATGGATGGTAAAAGACACTAGCTGCAAATCACTAATAACATCACTACACTATAAGAGAGCTTGCCTTAAACTATAGCATAGCAGCAAACTCTGGCCACTCTACAAGGACACTCTGCAACTGACCAGTTGTGAATCAAAGTACAAATTTCACAGGTTATTCATTCACACAACTCTATTCTATCAAGTGGATGGTGGGCAGGAATCCTAATGTAACGTTTTCCACCCAGCCTGAGCTTTTATGCCTACATTCTCGTCATCACCAGTCCACTATTAAAACAACAAAACCTTCCAAAGAAAGCTTTTTCTCATTTATCCAGGCTAATCGTTATGCTAAGACATAGTGAGAATGTTTCACAGGGTGGGATTTCCCTACAGAACATAAAGGCATAAATTATCATGGGTTTTCTCATAAAAGGTTTATTATTATTTTTTATTGTTATTATTATTATTATTATTATTATTATTATTGTGTGCATGGAGGGTCACCACCTGACCAGAGGCTAGAAGAAGGGCATGGGTTCTGGGCACTGAACTCTGGGTGAGTAGCAAGCACTCTTAATCACTGAGCCATCTCCCCAGCCCCTGGGTTTCTCATCTTCAAAGGAAAATCATCTGTTTCTTTTCTTGCTAAGTCTTGTCACCCAGGAAGACAGAAGAACTGCATACAGCTATCTGCACTGACCTGGGAATGGCTTCTGCCTCTCCTGAAATATGTATGCTTCCCACTCTATCTTCCTGGTAAGAGGGAGCTGGGAGTGTAAGGACAGAAAGATCAGGGAAAGAGAAGTCAATATTCTAAAGAAGTCAGTCAATATTCTAAAGGAAAAAGCAAAACCAATACACAAGCACCTCCCAGGTGATTCTGGTGTCCTCTCCCCTTTATCTAAACCATAGCCTGAGTCTTACATATGCTGTCCCAAGCCTGGGGCAGCAGGGGTGAAGGCTCAACTAGGAAGGGTTTCCAGATTCCTCTTCTGGGAGTTCAGATCCTTTGCAATGACCTTACAATGCATGTGTTAAAACTTCTCTTAAATGGATTCTGGATAAAAACAATGTGTGAGCAGGATTGTCTCTCTCTGTTTAGTTAGTCTATTTACCAGAAGTTTCTAAGGTCACTGATTGCCCAATGTTGTTGGATTTAGCTGCCATATACCAGCTGTTTCTAATCAATGTATATTCCTGTGTCCAAGCCAGAGACCTCTGATGGAGAGTACCACAGGTCTTTTAGACGCACTTTTCTCAGTCCATCTGTCTGGCAGTGAGAACACAAGCGCTGCTGACTTAGGGTCGAATAAGTTACTCTGGGGAGCTTATGAAATAAGGACTGTGAGGCACTGGGAAGAAACAGGGCACTGACCATGCATTTCATTAACTTTATTTAACATGGAAATAAGGTTATGCTCGTCAGTAGAATTTTATTCTCCGTACCTCTGAATTTTTCTATGTTTTAGCATCCTTTTTGCTAATTAAGTAGATTCAGTGAACACGGGAAACAAATCCAAGCGGACTGGATACCACCTCTTTTTCTTATTATTTCGTGCATTTGTATATTTTGATTCTATGTTCTATTTATGTACTTCCCTTTAAGAACTGTACTGAAAGATGAGACTGATGTTCACAAGAAAAGAAGCTATGAGAGTTCAAAGGAATGAAAAGGGGTGGGTGTGGGGTGACTCACACTTTTTTTCTGCAATTTACTGATTTTTAAAGTTGTTTATACTTAGCTTTGTCATTTTGTTCTGAAGAGCTCATTCAATATTGACTACAGGATGAGTTCTACCATACTTCCCATCTGAATTTTCATATTTACTTTGTATGCATATTAACAAAAGGTAAAATAATATGAATAAACTTTGAAAAGAAAAATTCAGAGACAATTTAATAAAATTATATATATATATATATATATATAAATCTGTATTCTTCCTAAGCACAATTGTTACATATCCTTTGATTCTGTTTCATGTTTTGTTGTTTATAACTACTCTTTATTTAAAGAGATTTTATTTATTTTACTTTGTATATTTTGCCTGCATGTATGTATGTGACATCATGTGTATGTCTGGTGTCCTCAGAGACCAGAAGAGGACATCAGATCCTTTGGAACTAGAGTTTCAAGTGGGTTGTAAGCTGTCCTGTGGGTTCTGGGTACTGACCAAACCCACATCTTCTATAAGAGCAGCAAATCCTCTTAACCATCAAGTCATCTCTCTAGGCCAACTACTCTTTTGAACCTCATTTAGGGAACTGAAATGAACAAAGTAGTCAACTACAAATGAAGTACACTGTAGTATTTTTTTAATGTTTTAATAAAACAGACTCATAATTTAGATAGTTTATGTAACTAAAATTCTAAAGAACCTTCTAGAGCCATGAGAAGACTGTATGCATATGAACATGTGCCTGTGTGTGCATGCACATGCATGTGCATATGTGCGTGCGTGTGGTTCTGATGTATGCATGTGTGATATACGTGCAAGTGTGTGGTTGCTGGCACCTGTGGGCACACGCAGAGCTCAGAGGAGAACACCAGATGCCCTGTGCTGTCACTCTTCACCCTGTCCCTTAGACAGGCTTTCCCAGTGAACCCGGAGCTAGGCTGGCTACCAGTGCCCACCCCAGAGATCCTCCTGTCTCCACCCCAGGAGCACTGTGGTTACAGGTGCTCATGTAGCTACGCTGGACTTTTTTTGGGTACTGGGATCTGAACTTAAGTCCCATGCTTACACAGCAAGAACTCTTACCCACTGAGTCATCTTCACCAGCCCCAAGACTGTGTGTCAATGTTTGAACTGAAATGAGCAAAATGAAGGCAGATGTGGTGGCACATACCTATAATCTCAGCAAGTAAGAGGCTGAAGGAGAACTGCTGTGAGTTCAAGGCCAGCCTGGGCTAAAGAAATCCAAAACTCCAAAGCAAACTAAACCATGAACAAAATACCACCATGAGAACAGAGATGTTTCCTACCTGTTCCTGAGTTCGATTCTTCCAGTACAACCACCTCTTTTTCCAGTCTGGGCCTATCATGTTTTCAATAGCATTTTCAGCTAGAAGACAGATAAAAATTAATTCAGTCGGAATTTTATCACTTATCAAGCTATAAATTATAACTAACAATGCTTATAAATTTTTAATTATTTCTAAATGCTGTATTAATATAAAATTAATTAAAATAAACAATGATATGATTGGTATGGCAAAAGTATGACAATTATGTATGAGCTCCAAATATGTGAAAAGTACAATTGTTTACATAATTCCTATGTGTAAGGAATAAATATAAGTATCTGGTGTCCAACTTAATCTCTTTAATTAGTCACAAGCAACTCACAAAAAAATTACACAATTAAATATCCAACTGTATTCAGGACAAAGACTTTGAAGTGTATGTATGTGTATATGTGGCATGTGTGTGAGTTTAGAAGTGCATGTGCCTTAGTGCATAAGTGGAGGTCAGAGAACTTTCGGGCATCTCTTCTCTGTCTCCACCGTGGGTTCCAGGGATCCAACCCAGGTTCTCAGGCTTTCAAGACAATTTGCTTTTCCCACCAAGCTATCTCGCTGGCCCATGGATTATATTTTATAATGCTTACAACCCAAGAGCTATGTCCCTACTTACTATCCTTGAGCCGAGCTTGAAGTGCCTCTTCCATAAAGTAAATGGCTGCATCCCACTGTTGCTTATCTGATATGGACCGGTCTTCCAAGGCATTGTGCTGAATGACCCTCTGAAACAGTCAGGGCAGAAAAAGCTAATTTAATTATGTTCTCACATGTCAGTAATTTTATGTAAGCTGGCAACCTAGTAAATATTGAACATAACAAATGACCACATAACAGCAAGTTATTTCCACAGAAATGCAGGAGCTCCTTTTATTTGGCTGCACCTGCCAGTTTTTTTCTGGAAAATAAAATGGAATTTTTAGTGGATGAAATTAAAGAGCTAACGGAGGGGACGGCACAGGTACATAAACAGCACACTGGACTATATAAACCCCAAGAGCTAGAACCATACTACCCAGAGGGTCACATTGCTTTCTGTATTTACTTTGCCACATGAACTATGCAGAAATATTTTATAACAGGACAGAAAAAACCATTATTAACCATTTTCTCATTGCTAACAGAAATACAGTGACAGGGCAAAGGCTCAATCACTGACAATCATAAACATTAGCTGTTATTTTTATAATTAAAAACTGGTTTCTAAATTTTGTAACTTTTGAGTGAATGAATGAAACTGGCAATTCTTTTGGAAAAACCTGTCTTCCAGGCAGTAAAATAAGGATATAGTCTTCAAATACAAAGACAAATATTTCTCCAAAATGAAATTATGATTACAAACAGTACACAGTGAGATCTGTGCTGTTCTAGAAAATCACCCAATGAGCATGATGAGACTGTGGCTATCCTTACCTGATGTGTCCACCAAAAGACTTGGCCCCCTGATGTTGGTACCAATAAGTCGTGACTGGATCATGAGGGCACTAACGTCATCAATGAATGAATCCATTGATGAATAAGTACTAAAGGGATCATGGGACAGTGGGGCCTGGGGAGGAAAGCAGGCTTCTGTGGGAGTTCCTCTGAAGACTGTCTCTCGGCCCTGGTCCCCTCACCTCTCTGCTTGGCTATTATGAACTGAGCGGCTTTTCTCTACTATGCCTGCCTATCAGATCCTCACTCCACAGCCTAAAGGCAACTGAACCAAGCAACTCACAGAGAGAAACCTTGGAAACCCAAGTCCAAGTAACCTTCCCTCTTGTTAAACTCAGGTGTTCTTACCCAGCAACAAAACCCAACAGAGCTGCTTCAGGATTCAATCAAGCTTTGGGCCTGGTGGGTCAAGCCCATATTCTCAGCTATTGAGCAGATGTAGGCAGAAGGGCTGACAGTTCAGGGATTGCCTGGGTTATAGATTCAAGGCCAGTCTGGGCAACTTAGTAAGACCCTATTTAAAGAAAAAGAGGATCAGGATATAGCTTGTTGCTAGAGGCCTTGCCTAGCACATATAAGGTCCCAGACTCTGAAAAAAATGTCAACCAAATGATGCTTACAAAGTACTTAGGAGTTGTTCCTGGCACACGGTAGATATTCAATACATGGTAGGTAGTGCTAAGATTTTACACCAAGGTACCTACATACAGGCCCAAAATAACTAATGAATGGCAATTCGTGGAAATGTATGGGAATCTGCTTACTGATTTTCTTCTGAAATGGAAGTCAAGGAAAAAAAGAACGAGGTATTTTAGAAGATCCAGCGGAATGAAGGGCAGGATACAAAGCATACATCTATTACTTTGCACTGCAGTCATATAAGAACTCCATGAAAGAATGAGTTTGAGACACTCGTGAAAACGATGCTGGCATCCTGACTAGACAGAGGGCGCACCAAGCTCTAACCAGGCTGAGGGCGTACCAAGCTGTCTTCTGCAAAGTCGTTCCACTTGTGCCGCTTGATACTCTCCTCCTTCACAGCTTCCTTGAGTTTGTCAAATATGTCATCGTGCTCCTTTCCTTTGGGTTCTGTCATGAAGCGGGAAAATTCCTCCTGCAGCGTCTCCCAAGCAACCTAGACATAAAAGAAAAAGGCTGCATTCAGACTACTTACCCTTAATTAATATGCAACATGATAAAACAATGTGAAACCGAATAGCAGCTGATCAGGAAATGCAAGTTCACTGATAAATGCATGTACACTAATAAAAAGACAGCAGAGCTGGGCATAGTGTCATAGGCCTTTAGCCCTATCACTCAGGAGGCAGAGGTAGGTGAATCTCTGTGAGTTCAAGGCCAGCCTAGTCTACATAGTGAGTTCCAAGACAGGCAGGGTGACATACCAAGGCACTGTTTAATCGGCTCACATCCCCACAGGACACATTCACTGAACTGAGCAGGGCTGGCTCCTTTAGGTGAGCTCTACACCCCAACACATTTACTTCACCTATCTCAACCACTAGCACATCTGAGTCTGCCCGCTGCTTCCATACCAAACCAAGTTTACGTTCATATTCACTGAGCCAATCATCTTTACAGTTTTGCTTGCAGGCAAAGACTCATATAAAAAGTATTACTCGGCTAATTTTTTCTCAGTCTCAACTGTGAAAAGAAGAGCATAGGGCAAAAGTGGTTAAGAACACATAGATGGTGGGATGAGGTGGTTTTCGTTTTGTTCTGTGTGAATCTAAGGGCAAACCCCTGCTTTATTAGCCTCCCTAGAGCTAGGATTACAGGCATGCACCTCATGCCTACACTGGATGGGAATGAGCCTACTAACTTCCTACCCTCATCAGCTTCCCTCTTCCCAGGCATACAGCCAGGGCAGAAAGCAGAGAAACACAACTATTGGTGTCATGAGGATTAGTGCCACTGCTGGAAGCTTTGGCTATGCAAATGTCTCAGCCCAGGACACACCCAGAACATGGTGAGAACTAGTGATTGAGAGGCAGCAGCTTCCCAGTTATTTTCATGCTAAGTGGATCAAGAAATGACCAGAATTCAGCAGCAGGTACCACCCGCAGAGGCTGCAAGAGCTGCTGGAAATGGGCCCAGGGAGGAGAGAACAGTGGTGAAGAGGCCAGGTATTTCCAAGGCAGGTATGCAGAATAAAATCACATTTAGTATTGATCACAAGTTGTTGATCAACCTTTCACAGAGTCCAGGACACACTGGCTCTCAGTTAGAGTGCAGGACAAATGTGGATAATGTTGATAATCCTGAGTGGCTATTATGGACGGGCCAGTTATTACCTAAGTATATTACATATTAATTCACCCAATCCTAATGGCAACCCTGTCACCCCTACTTCTCAGAGGAAGCTGCAGGAAGGCTGAACAAGTAGGGCAGCTATCAGTTTTCATATGGTTGGGCCAAATGCCTCAGGACAGAAATGGATTCTTCCAAGTGCTTTACTTTTGTAAATAATTCCTTGTCAAAACTAGCAGGACCCTAACTCAATGCATATGTAAGTGTTATAGGGTCCTGGAGAAAATGTAAAAACAGTAACGTTTAGTCCATTTGAAGATATTCCTGACAGAAGCTCAATACACAGAAGTTCAAAATATTTCACCTTCTAGCCAGTTTTGTTGGTTTTATTAAATGTTATCTTTGGAAGGAGAGGCAATGCCTTTAGGAAAACAGCCTCCTGATTAGTAAACTTTTATGTTAGCAGCAACTGAGAACAATATCGAGGTTAGCTCCAACACAGGCAGGCACAGAGTGGACACGAAGTGCTAAGGCTGCAGAGAAAGACAGTGACTGTAAGGGAAATAAGACCCATAGCCCACAGCACCTATTGCCTCCACACAATGCTTCTTACCCATTGAATTAAATTACATCCTAACCTCTACTGCTTTATTAGGGAGCTGCTTGTCAGTCCACTGTTTAAGCTTGATGTCCACTGTGGTGTTAAATGTTCCTGAATTCATGGTCTGTGCAGCTGGAAGGTAGATGTTCTCAATCACATGAGTTGATACTCTTTCCCACAGAGACTGTTGAAGGATTTCCTCCCTGAAATTGAAGGTTCAAGAAAGTCAATATGGAGTTAAACAGTTGAAAATAACTAAATATAAACTATACATACATGAAGCATTGATGAGTTCCGGGTACATACACATCTGTAAACCACAGGAATCGAGATAAACATCTCTTATCAGATCTATAACTATTCTATTTGCTGTTATTACAATTACTTTCTATTTTCTAGAACTTTACATACATGTAGTCATGTAATCATGTACTCTTTCTCCTACCTTCTTTCACCCAACATGCTTATTTTGAACTCTGTGGTGTATGTATTACTATTTCACATCTTTTTATTACTAAGCACCACCAATTATGTACAGTACACCTGTTGATGGTCACACACTGTTTCTAACTGTTAGCTATTATAAACAAAGCTGCTGTGGGCATACTGTCACAAGTCTAGGTAAGGATGCATACCTTTCCTCTCCATGGGTACACATCTATAAGTACATCTATAAGTATATGGCAGTTTTTGGTTTTGTTTTTAAAGATATCATTCTTTTCTAAAATACCTCAGTGAAACGTTTACATTCCTGCTAGCAGAGAAGGAGGGTCCTAGACACTTTCCACTCATGGCACTGTCTCGGCTCTCAGCCTGTCTAGTGGTTTCCAGTGCCTATCACTGTAGCTACAGGTCTCTAATATTCATTTTCATGTGCTCATTAACTTAGTTTTAACATACATTTGCATGTGTTTACTGGAGTCCAAAGCAAAAATTTTTTGATATAATTTTTACAATTTAACAAATGGTATCACAAAGCATAGAGATACGGGATATCACTATATAAGATGTTTCAGCCCTTCATGGCCAAGGAGATAGTATAAAGGATATGTACATAAGCTGAAAATTCTGCTCTTTGAAGTGTTCTTTAAGAATAAGATCTCTAAATTAGAAAAGACAGCCATTTCCACTATGAAAATATTTGAAATCTCAAGAAAGTACTCATTTGGCTTCCACTGAAATAAATTTCTGCTGTTATAGAATACATAGTAAAACCACAAGAAGAAAACCCAAACTACCCTGTTATGATTTGGTCCATCTGGAGAGTAACCACAACACACTGAGCACAGACATTCCTGCTGTCAAGGCAAAGGGTACTGGCCTACTCCTCCTCTGAACACTGGGCTTAGCTGCTGACCTCACCTTGTTAATGTTCAGGTAGCTGTTCAGTTACCACAAATGGGAAGATTATGAGAAGGCACATTACTTAATGATGGGGCAGAAAGGCTGGATGTCAGTTCTATTTTCTGTGTCACCTTTCAAATACCTCTCACCTGCACTACCAGAACCCATATTCAAGTCACCTGACCTCTTAAATGCTTCTTGGCTTAGAGCTTTCCTACCTTGAACAGTGTGGTGATTAAAGCTTGCCTGAGGATTCAGAAAGCAAAGTCAGCCACAAGCTATACAGCTAGGCAGTGGTAATACACACTTTTAATCCTAGGACTCAGGATTAAGAGGTAGATGGATCTCTGTTAGTTCAAGGCCACACTAACTACATGAAATTGATCCAGTCCTAAAAAGAACAGCTCACACAAAGGTGATCTTAGCACCTGGGATCACACACCTTTAATCCCAGCATTAGGGAGGTATATAATACAGGAGCAGGGTCTTCAGTAGTCAGTCTGAGAGTTAGTCTCTGGCCATGTTGAGGAGAGCATGGCAGTCTGGTGAATCTGGGGAGCAGTGAAGCTAGGAACAGCCTGAGGATCACCCCTTTGGTCTGACCTGAGGTAGAGGAAAGAGCTAGTGGTCTACTGCTTTGCTTTTCTGATCTTCAGCTTGAAGTTTGAACCCCAATATCTGTCTCTGGTCTTTAATTTATTGTGTTACAGAACAGCCATAAAGAACTGGCTTACAGCTCCTGTTTATCTCTGCCCTTTACCTCTTTATGAGAGAGCCATAGACACAAACATCCAAGTTTTCTTTCTTCCTCTCACCTCCTGCCTTTCAATCCCTTTGCTCCCATCTTTACTTAGCACCAATCCGTTCTTTAAATTTCACATTATGATGCCACGAGTCTCAGATTCCTTACATTTGAGTTAAGGAATTAAACTATATTTTCCTCATTTTTGTTTTAATACTTTCACCTGAAAACACACAATTCCATAATGCTGGATTTCACAAAGTATATTTTCATAAGGTGCTAGAAAAGATGGTTACATGTTAACAACATGCCAGTACCTCATTTAATGTCAGCAGCTGTATCTGTAAGATCATATACATTGCTGGACAAATGCATTGTGTATATATTTACTACTGTAACACAAATTATAAGCCAATTTGAACCCCAGAGAAGTCCTTTCTTAAAATATGCAAAATGTCTGCAAGTAAATAACAAACTATCCCTTTCAGACATATAGTACTTACTATGCAGTCCTAGGACTTCAATAATTCAAAGCTAAGGCATCCCCCTTCAAGTGCCATGTGATGCCATTATGCTAATGAATACTACCAACAAAAACTTTTAAGGTAATCCCAACTATGCTCCTGAAATTCTTTGGTGTAATACAGTTAAATCCATTGCAGCATGAACAGTTAAGGCTGGGACTGGCTATTCTGATCTTTGTGTCAAATTCTAGAGTCTAAAACCACAAGCTGATCAAGAAAACTCACTAGAGGTCATCTGATCAGGCAGCTAAGAATTCCCAGCCAATAAATGTTCTAGTTCTCAGCTATATCTTCTCCACTGGAACTTTCATTTCTTGTCTTTTCACAACCCTGTTAAGTGCCCTGTGTGGCCATAGTATAATACTTTAGCATTGTTCTACCTAAACAAAACTAATCACACTTATGGTAATAAATTAATTTGTAGTAGATCACTTTTTTCCTACCACAAATTACTATTATTAGTTGTAGCCCTCCACTCCTGTTGGTGGTACTAAAGAGAACCCTGGGACTTGCCTTGTTAAGCAGGCACTCCACCACTATTTGCATCATCAGTCCATTAGTTATGATTTATAAACCCCCTTCATGTATATTATGTTCATACAACCTAGGAAGGCAACTAGTACTATATTAATTATACTTACGGACATTTAAAATTTACTCATGTACAGATCTGTGTATCTGTATCTCCCTTGCAATTGTATGACGTAACTGAATTATACAAAGTCACTGAACTGGTTTAAAATATAAATAAGAAACACAACAGTAAAAATAAGACCAGATATCTTGTTTTGATAACGAGAGTAACAAACTTGGCAAAATTGATGACTTAAAGAAAGAGGAGGGTATCTCTGAGGAAGAGAGGGCACTGAGATGAGGAAACTAGTGAGAACACATTCAAACTTAGGGATGAGATTCTAGTGTCGACGCAATGTAATAATCTGTGATTGAACAAACAAAAGTATTGAAAATATGTATCATGAATGGTGGTAAGGATAGTTTTGTGCCAGGAATGATACATTCTTAAATACCACAGTTTATGGGAAGATAATTTAGGTCTGGGGAATTTGTTAATTAAAATATAATTACCAAAATTTCAGGCTCTTTATACATATATGGCTTGGGCTGTATGTAGCCTGTCTTGCTGCTGTTACAAGGTAACCTATGCAATACAGGCTGCCTTGGAATTTGTGTTCCTCCTGGTTTAGTTCTTTGTTTATAATGCCGTTTCAATAAATTCAAGAATGCCTACATTTACATAAACATAAATTGAAGATGAGAGCTTGCCCTAGGATTCATGAAAATTTCTCAAAAGGAGAAATTTACTACTTAAAAAAACTTAGGTAGTAAGCAATAAAAATATAACAAAGAGTGGGTCTGGAGAGATGGCTTAGTGATTGAAAGCACTGGTAGCTCTATCAGAAGATACAAGTTCCATTCCCAGTGCCCACAAGGCAGCTCATGACTATCTGCAAGTCCAGTTCTTGGGGACTCAGCATCCTCTTCCGGCCTCTGTGGGCAGCAGGTATGCATGTGGTACACAGACACATGCAGGCAAAACACCCATACACAAAAAATTAAAAAATGTTATTGTGCTCAGCACAATATGTATCTCAGAAACCACCAGCTACTTCTGGTCTTGAATGACATCTAAAAAGCATTCTTCCTTTATAGATCTATTTGCCCTAGGACGCTAGTCTCTGATTAGTAATAACCAGTCCTGATAAGTTACTTTGTGACAATTTTATGAAACTATGTGTAAATGATTCTAGTCAAATCCATTGCAGCATGAACAGTTAAGGCTGGGACTGGCTATTCTGATCTTTGTGTCAATTCTAGAGTCTAAAACCACAAGCTGATCAAGAAAACTCACTAAGGTCATCTGATCAGGCAGCTAAGAATTCCCAGCCAACAAATGTTCTGCATTTCTTTCTAGTCTTCGAGACAGGGTTTCTCTGTGTAGCTTTGTAGACCAGGCTGGCCTCAAACTCACATAGATAGATCCACGGGCCTCTGCCTCTCAAGTGTTGGGACTAAAGGTGTGCGCCATCAGCACCCAGCTCCAAATCTGCATTTCTTAAGAATAAGGCAAAGATCAAAGATCAAAGCAGATTTCAAAGGAGTCTTGAGCAAGCTACCGTCCAGACAGTCAACTGATAGACTACAACTGTCTCCTCTATTTTTAAAGGATACACTTTACTCTTTCACCTACTTCATTTTGAGGGATGAACCCAGGCAACATAAATCACTGCTTCCTTCTACATTACAATAAAAGACACTGAGAAAAGGGATTAATACTCACCAGTGTTTTGGAGTGACCTGGCTCAGGCTGATAACTTCATCAAGGATCTCATTTTTAGCTTTTTCAAATAGTTCATTCTAGGCAACATAGAGACAAGTTAGGATTGTGACGAGCCACTATATTTGTCCTGCTATGATCTTCAGGAATAACCAAGAGGAGGATATGGACAGGGTGTGGTCACTAAGTTTTGGATTGAAGATGCAAGACTAACAAATGACCTTCTAGTCTTCTTTTGGAATGTCATTACTCAGATAAGGACCAAGAAGCAGTCACAATGTCTATCTATCCTTTGGAATTCTGACTGCAGCTTTTTTTTTTTTTTTTTGGTTTTTACGAGACAGGGTTTCTCTGTATTGTTTTCGAGGCTGTTGGTCCAGCCCAGCCTTGAACTCACAGAGATCCGCCTACCTCTGCCTCCCGAGTGCTGGGATTAAAGGCGTGCACCACCACTGCCCAGCTCTGCAGTATTTTTTTAATGTAATATTTCTACATAACAAGCTAAAGAACTAACACACACAATTTAGTCATCAGTAATAGTAAGATAATGCTGGGTCTCACAAGTTTGCTATTTTAAAATCAAAGAAAAACATATTTAGTTCCCACTAGACTACATTTTCAATGTAAATACCAACAAAGTAAAAAGCTAATGTATAACTAAAAACAAAAATTAGATTACACAGGTATATATCAATAAGACTTCTAAAGAATATTCATAATTTTTTCAGAAATGTTTTTGACATGTTTCTACATCATATGATTCCTAATTATTTTAAAATGTTACAATAGTTTAAATTATTGTAGAAAAGACAACTGCTCCTAAGTAATCATGATTAAGATCACAGCAGTTTCACCCACCAGACCAACACCTCTGTAAGGACACAGTAAACTAAAGTACACAGACGACCTGTGTGGCATCAGATATTATTACCCTGTCGAGCTCTCGAAGGCGTGGGTAGTTATTCTTCCACTCCGTCTCCAGGTTAAAGCGTGTTGCTGTGGAGGAAGGAAAAGGAACACTCCAGTCTAATTACTGAAGGCTACTTCTCTACCTTCTGTATCAGCTGGGTTTCTGAGCGTGTCTTGGTGCCCTGAAAATCTGAATACTATTATTGTTACAGTTGTCTAATTGTAACAATATTCTCATTACTTCTAGCTTCCCCATGTTCATTTCACAAATCCCCAGTTGTAGCAGTGTGTAGGGTAGCTGCTAGGAAAATGGACTCTGGCACTATAATTCATTTCCTGGGTCTAATGCTATGTGGCACTGGTTATGTAAATTACTCTGCACCTTTCTCTTCTTTTCTATAAAATGGAAATAAAGACAACACAAGATTGCTGTAGTACTAAGTGGGGTAAATAGGAAGTAACTTTCCAAACACTAAGTGGGAGGAGCAGCTGCTCTCACTGGAGGATTTGATGCAGAAGAGTGTGGGCCTGGGGAAACAGTACAACATGGGCTTCCCAGAGTTCCCTTCTTCCTGTAAGGGAGGATCCAACTTCTATACAGGCATCCACGCATTCTCTAAGCACTACTGCAAACCTGCTGCTTCTGAAAACTCTGTAATGCTGCCTCTGATAAGGAAATCAGTTCTTGTATAATAGAAAGTTTGCATTTCTCCATTTTCCACCTGTTGTCTAATCACATGCCTGCATTTGATGTTTTGCTTTAAGAAGCCCACTTACCTTTGAAGCTATCAGCCTGTTGTTCAACTGACTCTCGAACCATTTTCCAAAAGCAGTCAGACACAGCAAGGCTTAGATTTCTTGTGGTGACCTGGTGTGCCTTTAGCATGCTTGTCCTACAGGAGACCAGAGCTAAAGTGTGTCAGGATGACAAAGGAGCACTTACTCTACACTAACCCTGCCCAGCAAACCTTTCTGCACTGAGGAAGTGGGATAGCTAACCTGTCCAGCAAGGCAAGCACTGGCCACATGAATTACTGAGCTCTGGAAGTACACGGTTAGTGTGGTTGAGGGATGGCTCTTGTTTTATCAAACACTGGTCAGTCAGGGTGTTCACGTGACCAGTGAACACCGCAGCAGAAAGCACATTTCTGCAGGAAGCTTGTCACCACCTTCCCAATACAATAAAAAGAGAATCCTTGGGTGATGGCTGCAGTAAGGAACTGTCCTTATTTCTGTATCAATATGAAGGCAAATATGCTTGTCTACTTCCAGAAACTATGCAGAAACTCAGTGTAATGCAATTGCTGTTTAGTCCTTCTATTTTGATTTGCAGTCCAGTGTCTTATTTTCTGTCAATTTCTTCCAATATTTACTCAGGAATATCCTGTTGCCACTTCCCACTCCATTTTTTCTATTATAAGAGAAATGTGCACACATTTTTAAAAAAGAAAAATATAAGTGAAAAAAAATCACTTTTTAGGGAAAACAATGTAAGAGGTGTGAGGGTTGCCACTCAGTCCACATCTGCAGAGGCAGTCTGTCCTGCCATCTGCTATATTATACAACAAACTGCTTCCAGTTCTGTCCAAGAGTGCTCAAGGAGAGCCTCACTCGATAGACCACCACGTGAACAAACAACCAACAGCAGGCTAAGTGCTACAAGACATGATCAGTCCAGTTGAAGCACGTCAGTATAAGCTAAGCTCTTATGGTAGTCTTTGAATATCGTAACACAACACCTACTTTAGGAGCTTTGAATTCTGGAAAAATTCTTCTTCATATTCTCTTATAGCTTCAATGCTCTCAGAGCTGTTTCCTAGGAAAGATAGTGACCAAAATTTTACCAAGACAATTTTTATTATCTGAGACAGCAAAAGCTAAAAGTAAGTTATAATAATCCATCTTTGCATACCTTTTCCTGTCACAACAGCAAAATAACCCAGAGCTTTCATTGGGAAGAGCTTGCCTTCAATTATCTGCTGTATCTATTTTAATAGATTGGAAAAATAAATGTGAAATATACTCACTTAATTTTTAAAAGTACAATATGCAATTTAGAAAATATTTAAAAACTCTAAATATGTATATACTTATCAGCATACATATATCTCTCAAAAGCATATAAATGTGTTTTGACTGTTATTTGAGGAAAATATACTTAACTTTACTATATTAAAATGTATATACCAAGATTAAAACTTGGAATGGTTCATAGTGCTTCTGAGTCAGACTTTGGTTGGAGTTCTTGCCCCATCATTTACTAGCCATGTGACCTTAAGTAAACAAGTTAATTCTAATAAAAGGTTATGGAGACTATGAGATAATGGCATTTAGCACAGAGCCTGGAACAGAGAAGCACTCAATAAATAGTTTTATTACTTTTTCCTTATAGTTCCTTTAAATATTTAAAAACTTAAATTACTCTATTAAGTTAAAAATTGGCATTTGTTTATTTGCATGTATGTGTATGCATACAGAGGTCAGAGGACAATTTGTTTGTATAAGTATATGTGTGTATGTATATGGAGGTCAGAGGACAATTTGTTTGTGTATGTATGTGTGTGTATGCATACAGAGGTCAAAGGACAATTGTTTATTTGTGTATGTATGTATATGTGCATATGGAGGTCAGAGGACAATTTGTAGGAGTCAGTTCTCTCTCTTCTCTCCTTCTACTCTGTGGGTTTCAGGGATCAAATTCAGATTTGGCCACAGCACCTTTACTGTTGATAGATCTTATGAGCCCTGATTATTTAGTCTCACCATGCTGGATTATCTTTTACTAATTTCTCTTCCTATCCCTGTTTGAAACAATACATTTTAGATTGGTTTTTAACTCTTTTAAGTACAAAAATCCTTTTTCTGAGTGTGATAAAAACTATGGAGTCTGGGCACAGGAAAATGTATACTTACATAAATATATCATTCATATATTAACAAGTTACACCTAGACTAAAACTGAGTCTTTGCCATAGAAAGGCCTGAAGCTTCACCTACAACCCAAGTGAAGAAAGGAATGAAAGCATTAGGAGAGAAACATAGGTCCCAGACATTGTTTCTACCTTACTTCTCCTTCTTCAGATGAGGATCAACACGGTCATAATACTGCTCTTAAAAATATGGCAGAGAGGGCTGCAGAGATGGCTCACCCATTAAAGGCTAGGCTTGCATCAAAACATAATATAAGGCAGAGAGGGGCAAGGCTCAAGGACAAATTGCCACAACAGGCCCAGGAGGACCCTACAAAAGGTCTGCTTGCCTTTGCCTGGTATGCCAGGCAAGTAATGTGGTATGTGCTGACCAGTTTTCTTCTGACTAGCCTCTGAGAAAAGGTTCCTGGAGACACGAGCAGGCTGCCTCTAGATTGCATCACATGCATCTTCTCCTTCATGGCTCTGCAATACGTCTCTGAGGCAACTATGACTATGTGGTGACCCTATGGGTCTTTTGAAAGAATCAGGGTACCTGAGGCTGCACCTGACCCTGATACAGAGGCAAAGTCCAAAAGAGTTAAGGTAGAAAAGAGAAGCAGGCTATGCTATAGCAGTGGGGACGAGGACCTGATGCCACTGTTCTACAGGGGACTACAGAACATGGATTTATCATTTGTAAACAGAACACGGATTTATCATTTGTAAACATGCCAGCACCAGGCATACGACACTTGTGCCCGAGAACCATTCTAACCACTGTGCATTATTTGAGTAGTAACTTTTCACAACCTATGAGATCATCATACACACACACACACACACACACACACACACACACACACACACACACACACACACAACCTGCCCTTACCCTGCTTGGACTGGCTACATTTTTTTCTGCCAGGTCTACTTTGGTCAAAACAAATATGGTTCTTCTTCCATGAGGATCCATTTGACTGACCAAGTCTGTAACAATACTGCGCTCAGCATCTACAGAGCCATCTGAAGAAAAAAAGTAATAATAACAGGGTAGTAATTACAAAAGTGATTGTGAAAATTTAGTCTTAGTACATTTACTTTAGGAATGTAGCCAATAAAATTCCAATGTCAAAGGTGAAAACTATCAAAGCTTCCCAGTTAAATTCCGTGACTACTAAAATGATAAGAGCAGTGAGAATGTATGTGCATGTATGCTTACATGACAGGCACTGCAGCCATGCCTGGAGCTCTAACAGGAAAGGATGGGGTATGGGAAAATCTGTGGGATTTACCTTGAATGCACAGGATGATGGCATTAGGATTCTGCATGTATGCTTTGCTGATACTGAAAATCGTTTCCTTTGTGTCAGGAGCCATGCCTGATGTCACAGTCTTGAAGAAGAAGGTTTTAAGTATCATTACAGAGGGTTTTCACAGTAGGAATGGAATGAAACACATCTTGTGTGTGTACTTACATTGATCACACCCGGCAGGTCCACAAGCACCATCCTCTGCAGCCCAGGGCCTTTGACATTTAAAGATATGGTCTATTCAGGAAGGGGGGAAAATATATCAATCTCCCAGGGAGTAACTTTCTTAAGAATATTTGTGGTGATTCCCCCTACAATAGTACATTATTTAGAACATTAAGAAAAAAAAATCTGAGTGTGGTGGCACACGCCTTTTATTCCTTTGTGAGGCAGGTGGCTCTCTGTGAGTTCAAGGCTAGCTTGAGCTACATAGTGAGTCCCAGGCTAGCCCAATCTATCTATCTATCTATCTATCTATCTATCTATCTATCTATCTATCTATCTATCTATCTATCTATCTAGAACAGCTACAATCAAAATACCACATCCATATTAATTATTAATATGCATAAAAACTTCACATCCCCAGATCATGGCTGAAACGATTGCTGCCCTTACCTCAGGGCTAACAGTACAACCTTCTTTCACATTTTTCCTCATTCGGAGTTCGATTTCATGTCTTAATGCCGCAAGCTATTAATGGAAAAGAACAAAGTCCCGAGACAATCTTAATGACAAATAGTCCACTTCTTTGCCTTAGAGCACACAGGGGTCATGAAGCAACAGAGATGAACTTGATTTGAATTCTACTTACATCTTCTTCCTTGGTAAGATCAAACTCCCGAGAGCTATCTTTAAACAAGGCCACATGATGAGGACCTTCACTGAGAGTCACCTGAAAGGACAGAAACATATAGGATGCATTCACAACTAACATTAATTCACAGCACCTGCACAGTCCAGACAGGGCCAATCACTACACCTTTATGCTATACTCAGGTGCAGTCAGCATGACCGCGCTATACTATCTGAGGGTGGCACCCTGTTGACACATTCCAACAAAGCTGGTGGGTTCTGTCTTTTATGACCTAGGGTGCTGCGGGCCTCTCTCCCCCTGGCAATGCTCTGTAAACCACCAAACAGAGAAACTGTCCCTTTACAGCTTGATGAATTCAAAGAGAAGCCAATACTTAACTTGGGACAAATTCAGGGAGAGGACAGTTCATAGGTCACCATTCCTCAATACATAAACTATACAACAGTGTTAGAAATGGGGACACACAGGCCTGATGGCTCTGCTTCATGCTTCCCTCCTCACAGATAGGAGGAGTGGTGGAAGGTTTGGTACCACAGACAGACTGACCCTGGCTGCCAGGAGTCACCATAGGCTTCTTAGGAGAGGTGCAGAGTGGAATATTTAACAGCATACAGTGACAGTGAGTCATTTTACAAGCTATTCCTTAACCTTTAGGGTATACATTTCAAGGTATCATAATTAAACTGTTTAACTTTGAAAATGCATTTGTTTCCCTGAAATAAACTTAGCAAGTTATACAAGAAAACAAAAGCCAGCTGCTAAAAGGACTACGGTGGCTTGGCCTAAGCATCCCAGGGCCCAAAGGCCTTAGGGGGATTGTCCTGCAGCTATTTTCATTTGAGTACTTGCTCATTTGTGGTGCAGGACAAAGGGCTAAATGGAAAAAGCTTAAACAAACAGCAAATAAATAAACACACTGGGACTTCATCTTTTACTTTGCTACAAGTATCATAATTGTAGATGGTTGTTTTTAACAAAATTTCGATCATTCAGTTTTACCTGAATGATCTCAGGTGCCAAGATTGTAGCAAAAAATGATCTACAGAAATGAATTACCAGAGACCAACCCTTCATCTTATGTGTGACGCCCCTTCAAGACATGGTTATTTAGAAACCAAGCAGAAAGCTGGGGTAAAGAAGCTGAAATGCTCTGAGGAGACACAAATAGGAGTACATCAAGAAGTAGGAGTCCTGATGAACAGAAGGCCTTGCCTATTTGAAGGCAACCTCCTCCCAGTACCATTAGTTTCCTGAGGTATTACCCAAAGCATCTATTGTTGCAGAATATTTGATCACACTATGAACCCCAAGATTGTTTTATTTACTGGAAAAATCTGTTTCTAGTTGTGGTGTGGCTTAGCTCTAGTACACATTTTTAATCCAAGAGTTTTCTGCTTATTGTAAACAGGATTAAATAAAGTCAACCATAGGTCAAGAGGTGAAGCAAGCAACCAGCTGATAGGAAATGAACCAGTATAAGAGGGAGTCAGGATGGAGATAGACACAGGAAGTAGAAGGGAGGAACATTGACTTGGAGAAGTCAATGTTTAAGATGGTAAGGAGAAAGATCTTTTTCTGGAACGTCAGCAGAGGAGAAATGTAAAGAGAAATCCATGTGCATCTTTTTAAGGGTATTATTAGAGATTTATTAAGATATGAAAGGGGGGAATACACTCATGAATACAGGATATGGTAAATTCAGTTGCAGAGTCCCCAGGAAGCTGGGGACCGACCATTAACACTTCACGATGCCCAACCCCGCTTGACCCAATCTTCATCACCCAGGAGGGTGCGACCTCCTTCTTCCTACCTTATAATGAGAGGTCATGTGGGCAAACAAGAAGCACCACCTCTATCAGGTCAAGATAGCCCAAGGTATTGGGTGGAGTGAATACACCACAACAGAGAAGGTCAGCTGGGTGCTCTCTCCGACTCTCTGAGCTAGAAGGCTTTCACCCCAGCATCTGGCTTCTGAATCTTTATTGGTAAAACTGAATGATCAAGATTTTGTTAAAAACAACCCTCTATAATTATACTTGTAGCAAAGTAAAAGATGAAGTCCCAATGTTTTTATACTGATTACTGAGCATGATATGAGGCACAGGTTCACTCTGGGCTTCACCTGCCTAAGCTGGAAATATACTAGACTCCCATCCATGTATAGTGTATGTAAAATGGATGCACACCAAATACCACCAATCAATGAAGGAGGTACAACTAACACATAATATGGTCCAACTCACGGCCAGATTCCAAAGAACACTGTGAATCACACTAGACTGCCAATAGTTCACCTTGTTGCAGTTCTGCCCAGGTATCACTGGAAATTTTAACACAAGCCTCGCTGTCTCACTTTCTACTGCAATTCTGATTACACTTTTTGGTGATTTCAATTTTCTAATTCTGAATTACTTTATCTCAACCTCTATCAGATGAATGTGAAAGAAAAACAATCACTAATCCCCCAACTACACAGATTCACTTTAAATTTATGCCCACAACCTTACTGGTGACTTCAGTCTGACTAGTCCATCTTCATATTACCTGACTTTGTCAGTAGTTACCACAATCTCTTAGAAAGACTCTGCTTTTCTTCTCCTGCCAATAGTTCCTCTTTTCTCTTAACAGCTGATAATGGGTGACTTATTTCACCAAGGAGATAGAAGCAAGCAGAAAACCTCCACACCACCCAGCCACTTAACGTGGCACCACAGTTAAACTGGGTGACTGGTGCTCAGTCTTCCCTTGCTACTAAGGTCCCTTCTTTGATACTTCTTTTCCTGGCTCCTAGCTGGTGTTACGGTTCTGGTTCTACTTCCACCACACTGGCTGACTCTCTCTTGTTCCAAACTGCTTCCTTTTCCTTTAACCTCACAGGTCCTGCATCTTTATGTCCGTTCAGTCCTTGGAGTTCTTATCCAGTAGATATTTTGTCTTGATTCCAAAATTTATGTCTCCAGTCCAGACCACTCCCCTGATGGGCGAAGTCCTTCTGTGTATATGTTTGTCCTATTGGTTGATAAATAAAGCACTGTTGGCCAGTAGGGAAGCAAGATAGGTTAGACTAGGAGAGGTGGAGGATTCTGGGAAACAAAGGCACAGTCAGTCACCATGTAGGACTCGAGGGAAGTAAGATGTCCGGAGCCTTTCCCCGGTAAGAGAAGACCACACGGAAATACTCAGATTAGCAGTTATGGGTTAATAATTAAGTCAGAAACCATAGCCAACAGTTTCATAATTAATATAGCGTCCTGCATGTTCATTTGGGACTGATGCAGCTCAGGAACCAGGCTGGTGGGAAGAATGCATGTTACACTCCCCAAATCTGTACATCTAGCTACCTGTTTATTATCTCCCTTTAGCAAGAAAATTGAACTCTGAAACATCTTTCTGAAATTGGACCTACCTAGATGTTTCTATGCAAATTATATTATTTAAGCTGTACAGGTCAAAACCCAAGTCTGTGATGATTGGTCTCTTTTTATCAATCTGTCAAGAAATCCTGTTGGTTCTACTTTAAAATTCATTTCATAAGTCTACAAATTCTTTTCATGCTCATTAATACTTCCCATGTCCAAGTATCATCTAATCCAACTGCCCTTCATCTGATCTCCATGATCTGACCCACTTGGCAACATCTCTTTCCAACACAGCAGCCAGAGTCTTTTAAAAAGTAATAAAACTCTGCTAAGGACTTCACTGGCTTTCCATTTTATTTAAAACAAAACAAAACAAAAAAACACACTTCTGTAAACTGGCCTAGCAGGTCCTAATGATCTGCTTATCTATGCCATCCACTATCTCTCTGACTGTCACTGAGGCCTCTTCACTGGCCCATTACATTGGCCATTTTCCTATCCTCAAACAGGATTACTCCCCAACCACTTTTGGAACTGCACACCAGCTCATCTCTGCTTGGAATGTAAATGTATCAGGTTGCAACATAACTACTTTCCTCATTTTTCTTTAAGTCTTGGTTCAAATGCCACCTTAGCTATACCACCTACAGCATCCTGTCACCTCCACTGGACTTCTAACATACTAAATAGTATAAATATCTAGATATTTATTATGCCTATGGAAAGAATGTTCTTTAATTTATTGCACACTATCAAAAGCCAGGCATATCTGAATTGTGGCCTATGGGTTACATGTACCTTAGAAAAGCTAGGAATGTGGCTCAACACCAAATCATAAACTTAATTAAAAGATTGAGTTATTTATTTATTTATCTACCTATCCACTTATTTATTTACTTACTTATTTGGTAACTTGGCTGCACAGTTCTTGAGACTAAAGCCATTTACTTTCTCCCTGTCTCCGCTGGTGAGTAGTTAATAGTTTTATATATGGACAATGAGTACACACACACTCTGGTACAAACCTCCTTTACTTCAGTGACTTTGTTCTTGTAGTGTTTCCTTTTATCATTTTTTTCTAGTTTAATAGATCATGATAATTAGCATAAAAATACCACAGAAAACTATCTACATTTGTTGATTCCATCGTCTCACTCTGTCTCTCAGCCTCTGTGTCCTAGTCCAACATCAAGAGGACTTACAGGATCACCTACACAGCCACTGCACCGTGGATGTCCTTCTCCAATGCTCTTCCTTCACTTATTCTCTCAGCTGTGCACGTGTGTGCACCCGGCTGTGCCTCTCACTAATTCCTACAGTGGGAATGATTCCAAGCACTGTGTAAGAAGCCCTTCTTGCTTAAGTGCAGTAAGTAAGCTAAGCCTTCACTTTAACACAAAGTGGTGTCTCCTCTAAGGTCCTTCAGTGAGACGACCTCCTTTCCCACCTTCACAGGAGAACGTGTCATCATCTCCCCGGATCCTCGTGGGAATATCCGTGCTTGGGCAATCATTTCCAGCACACTTGTTTTTCCAGCACTCTGATCTCCAACCACAACAACCTAATCACAAGACAGTAGTTATTAGTATTTTTCTGACATCAAAATAACTGCAAGTAGAGTTGAATGACATAATTTAAAAATCTTTTAAGATTTCTTTTAGAGTGACAGTTGATACATGTAGGCATTCTACAGAAACACACAGCAGAAGCATTAATTGGCTCCATTATCTATAGTCAAATTTTTATTTTTAGAAACTATGCTAATTAAGAGTTATTTCTAAAACTTGATCATTAACTTTCCACAAATATTTTCGACAGCCTGTTTACATTTTACTAACACACTTTGGATTCTATTAGACTAAATTTCATCCATATGTTCAATTTTTTGCCTAGGTTTTTAACACTGTAAAGAATGTATAGTGGCAAACATCTGACAGTTTTCTTTCAAAACACATATATTTACTTTCATGGTCCCCAAAATAAGGAGCCAGGCAATGCTTAGTGATTAAGTTATCTTGGAGCGCAGGAATTATGATGACAGGGGGAGCACTGTCCTGGTGATAGCAGGTTCCCCGTCTATTTTCCCCTTACCCGTGGTAGATGATCCTGTGTATTGTAACTGGCATCATAATCGGAGAGAACATCAAGAACTTCAGAATACATATCAATCAAAGATTTCTGTAAGAAAAAAATTAAAATTAGAAAAAATAGGAAAAAATCAAACAATAAAAGACTACAGATACGCCAAATTTGTGGACAAATTCAAATTTGCATTGCCTTTTCTAATTACATAAATATTTTCATAGGAAAACCAGTGTAAGAGTAAAAATTTTACTTCTTCAGTTTATTTAGAAAAATACCGACTAAATAAAAAGATCATTAATTTAGGATTTCATAATCTAACTAGATGGTAAAGGGAAAGAGCTAATTACTAACATAAAAGTCAAATAAGGGGCCGGTGACAGAGCCATTACTGTCAGTCTAGGGTGTATGAGAATAACAGAGGGGGAAGAGGGTCGGAGCAGGAAAGCACATGACAGAGTGAAGAGAGAGGGTAGGAAGCACACGGATGTGAGAGCCTGAGGACAAAGTAGAGATGTGGTTGAGTGGAGCAGCTCTTAAAGCAGTAGAGTATTTACTTAAGTGCCCTAAGAATGCCAAAGGCTGAAATGTGAATAAAAGACAAATGTCCTGGATTGCTTTTCTCTGGAGACCAGGATGGCATCCTGAATACAACAGTGTCAAGTAAAATATCTAAGGGAGAAAAATGGGGAACCATCAAGCATTTACTAAGGGTAAGTTTTAATATCAGGTTGGAAGATTGTGAGAGTTTAAGGATATTTTTTGCCTCTTAATACATAGAAACACTTAAATACCAAACAGCTGCTCTCACATCTGCCTAAAAGTGCACACACTTCATTACCACTGCATCTTATGAGGAAAAATACCATTTCTAAGGTAACTCTATTTCCTAACGCTTGAACATGACTTTTCAGTGTCCAAATAGCACTTGTAAAGACAGTCAGGCTTTTGTGCACTGGACGGTAAGGATTTAGAGTCAAGGCTACAACACCATGTTTATTAAACTAGAATGGCATCTTTGGGACTTGGTTCTAGACGTGTGCCATGATTCACTATGGTTCTGGTATGCTGCAGCAATTACTGATTACAGCACCGAACTTTCAAGTTAAAGGAATCCTGTCAACACATCTGGCTTGAGTCTGTGGTGGTGACAGTATAAACTTAATTTATTGATAGTGGTAATTAACAATATGTTGATGACAACAATACCAACATACACTTATTTCTAAAGTTTTATTTAGTTACTGTAGTAGAAAATTACCTTGGAAATTAACTTGGAAAATAAGTGTTAAAAAACTGAAGACAAATTGGTGTGGAAATACCAATGAGGCAACAGTGGCAAGTATTACTTAAACACCCAATAAACTAATAATCTTAATCTAGGGAGCCCAAAGACAAACTCAGCATCTTATGAAAGTAGATTGACTCATAAGAAATTCATCTTAATATATGAAAATTTTATGGGCATAGTATATGATGAATTCGGAAGCTACAATTTATGAAATGTTTACATTGGCTAGAATTGAAAAGATGATGAAACACTTCATAATTTATTATTTTTTTTATCATTTAGGGGATAGAGAGATGGCTCAGTGGTTAAGAGCACTGGCTGCTCTTCTAGAGGACCCAGGTTCAATTCCCAGCATCCACATGTCAGCTTATGCAACCATTTGTAACTATGGTTTCAAGGTATGGCATGCCCTTTTCTGGTCTCCACAGGCACCAGGCATGCCAGCGGTACATAGGCATACATTCAGGCAAAACATCCACAGAAACTAAAAAATTTACTATTTAATATACAATGTCAAAGTTCTGAGAACTACCAAATGAAGATAAAGTACCTTAAGTTTCCTATGATGGATGCCTTTGTCATCCTTCTGCAGTACCAATTTTCTCAGCTCTTTGTTCTCCTTCTCTAAACGCTCCAAGATCCTCTGATACTTTAGCTGCAACAAGACAATGTACATGACTGTGTAAGAAAAAGATGGGTTAACAAATAAATATTAAGTTTAATTAAAATCTTCCAAACTTCTGGTTACATGACTTAACTAGTTACACGTAAATTATTGTTACACTTTAAAAAACCTTCCATGACAATGTGGAGAAAATAAAATTAAGATTATTTTAAGCAAGCAGGAAAATCCAAAATTTTCTATTATAATTTAGCATTTAACTTGAAAATTTATTTGCTTATGTTGAAGAAATAATTTAAAAATACTAAAAATTTCAGACCTTAAAAGAATTTCTTACAATTTCAAAATAAAGTCTCTAATATAAGGCTATTTGGCTAAAATTCAAATTATTCTCATTTGGACATTATTTTAAGAAATATGGTTATGTCATAAAACATGAGCGGGTAACATGCATTGTGTGATGATGACTCTTTGCAGTTCACTAGGGTAGAGGTTTTACAGACAAGAAGCTTAAGGTTAGCGACACCTGCTAGCTAGTCCTAAGGAAAGAACATTTAAACAGGTCTGTCTGAATAGGAGGCTTAAACTCCAAATTAAGTCAAATGTCCACGTCTGGAATAAGTTTGTTTGTACTTAAAATACTGATATAAAAACAAATGTTTAAGAAAATCAGTTTATTTAGGGTTATCATTTCAAAGTAGCTAAGTGGCAACATTTGCTTTTCAAGGTGAGCTGTTCAAATTCATCACCTTCCTTTGTACAGAAAATTAAGAATCACAGTCCCCCATAATCAGCAGAATGTTTAGGTGTACAGCTTATATTGCATCTGGAAAATATTTCTTAGATGTTTTTTAGGTTTCAAACTCCTGAGAAAATGGTCTATAACAGGAAATCAAGGTTCTATTCTTACACAATGTACAAGTTAAGCCTAACTAGAGAAAAGCATCTATAGTTAAACTATATAGCATGACACAAGTAGAACTACTTGATTGTATGCTAAACATATCTAATAAAGCATTCGTTTATGGCCTGTAAGAATTTAGTAAAATTTTAGTATTTCTTTGCTGTTTAAAGTCACTAGCCACGCATAGTTACTGAACACTTGAAATAGTGTGCTACCTGCTATGTGGACCACATGCTGTAATGATACTAATTTGGAGCCCACTGCACTAAATAAAATATATTATTAAAATTAATTCCCATCTGTTACCCTTTAAAAATGAAAATTAAAAAACTTTGCACGCGGCCTGTATATTTCTTTTACCTGAGAATCACTGATGGCAGATAACTGCATAGCTCAGTACATATTACTCACACAGAGTATTGACATTAAGTGGCTTACAACTGGAACTGCACAATTGTAGGGCACAGTTCCCTGGCATATTTCTTTGTAAATATGGAATCAATTTGAGGAGTCTACGTTTTCTTTCCTATATACAAATGTCAACCTGTAGCCATCCTCCAGAAGTGCAAATGGGCTGACAGGTGTGTCTAACCTGTGGACAGTTTTACAGACACACACAAAACTGTAAATCTACTTAAAACATAAATTCTTTTGTGTGTGATTTCATTTTGTAACTTGATTTGTGTGGTCCTTCAGTGTGACAGCTAGGTTTTGTTACAAATTTAGAAGGTTGGGCATGCTTACATAGAACAAAAAAAAATCTCAAAATTTGAGATGTATCGTAATTAGCTTAGGGGCATTAAAAAACAAAGACTGTAGCTGCGTTTAATGGTGAGCAGGCATGTAGGAGACTATGGCAGGAGGATCTGAGTTCTAGGCCAGCTACATAGTGAGACCCTCTTCCAAATCAAAACCATATAAACAAAAAGAACTCAAAATACTGAGATTCAGATTACTGAGTTCCACTGCCAGAGATTCTGACTCAGTGCGTTTAGGATGGGCTAAGAATCTGTATCTGATAAGTTCCCAGGGAAGAGTGATGTTACAGCTCCAAGGACCACCCTCTCAGAGAACAGTGACTTTTTTCTTTAAAAGGAATAGTATATTGAGTACACTGCAAGGGAGCAGTGAGTAGAGTTAACTAGTCGTAACTCATTGCAGAAAGACAGGTGCCAGTCAAACCACAAGTGCTCTCAGTGTCACTTATACAGGAGACTCCAGGAACAGATCAAGAAAAACAATGTATCAGAAATAAAATAGCTGCTTGATTTCATTTAGACTGCTTCTTCTTTTATGTTTTCCCCTTTAAAAAAAATCAAGATGTTAAGTATGCCTTTTGGCTTATAAAAATAAGTCTTAATTATTAGATATTAGTAATATAGAATAACTGCTGCTGGCAAATCTTTTAAGAGCAAGGTAAGTAGGTACTCATTACATTGTATATATGTGATTTTTAAATAATCATTTCTACCATTAACCAACAGATAGGCTTATACCACCAGAATTATCTTTAGGAAAAAAATTTTATGTCGATTTCAGGTTGCTGAGAAGCAAAGAAAGGCTACTGAGGACTCAGTAGAGAAACATGAAACTCAACTCAAATTTCTTTCTAGTTACCTTAGCAAAGTGAAAATATAAGCATTAGATTGTGTAAGACTTTTACCCATTCCCCTCCCACAATAATTTATCTTTAACACCAGTATAAGAATCACTCAAAATAGGAATCTCTATATAATGAATTAACCTGGTATTCACTTGCTTTCTTCTTTATTCCCTATTTCTCAAATAGCTTTCATAGACACTAAAATTTTCATTAGTTGAAAGGGTCACTAAGTGTTCCAACTTTTACTTTGTTGGAAAAAGAACCCACTGCCCATATCCCAGAGAAGTCCCTGGGGCTGGGTATGCTGCTCAGTGTCAGAGTGCTTGTCCCAGCTATGACGCCCTAGGCTCACCCACAGCAGCTCACAAGGAAAAGAGCACTGAGTTCTCTCACTGACTTGAGTTACCTGTGTATGCAAAAGTTCCTCTTGAAGTTGGTCAATCTTTTCTTTGTCTGACACCTAAATATTTAAAACACATTAATTTTAGTTGATTAGGTTTAGGGTTACATAGGATATGCAATAAGCTAAAGTTTTAAAGCAGCACTAAGACTATATGCTTATTTAAAATAAATTCATCTCAAGTGAGTATTTAAGATAATAAAAATACTTGTACTCGCCAATAATGAGAGTTCATCAAAATCTTATGAAATAGAAGCATCAAGGAGTCATTGTCTTGTCACCATTCTAGTCATTTGCTACGAAAGACTTGTTAGAAAAAGTGGAGATGGCCATCTGCGTTGCTTTATCAGAGGTTGTTGTGTACTAAGGCACAAGAACCTAGCATCTAGAGCACTGCCATTTCTCCAGACACAGGCACAGGGATTCCAGATACAAGTCACTGCTCACAGCCACTGCGCATTGGTCACAGTGGATCTTCTAAAGAACAACTTTCAACTTCCTCACTTTCAGTAGACATGTACACAACCAACGGATACAGAGACTAACTGGAATCTCTGAAAGTTAAACAGAGCCAGAGTCTTGTTTTTAAGTTCGATCCCAATGCAACATCAGCTAACTCTCAACAGAACAAATGCATCTGTAGAAATGAATCTAAAGCTAAGCAACTAAAACTGATTTGAATGTAAAAAATAAAATTTACAGTACTGTGTAAACTACTTCAAATTTTTATCAATAGTTCTCAGACAAACTCTTAAAAGACCCCAAATTTCATTGTATAATAGTTTAAAGTAGTCGCAATACAATTATAAGTAGAAAATACAATGAGAACAATGTCAATATGACAAAGTCATGTAACTGTGCCCTGACTTCTTGACAGGGCAGAGTTGTCTTCATCAGATTTTAAATGATAATGAGGTAGTCATTAATAAACCTTGTCCACGCTACAAAATTTATTTTTAATCTTGAGTGATAAGAGACTTGCTGGTTTAATTTACTTTTCCATTTTGATTATGGAAAATTTCCATTTCCAGTAGAATGGACAAGAATTATTAAGTCTCTTCAAAGCATGAGGAGGCAGGGAAGTTGAAGAGCCCACAACCCAAAGGACAAAGGCTAAAAGACTAATGAAGAACTAGATCACCCCAAATTACAATCACAAGGCATGCCATCATTCTGTAAAGTCTGAGCATAGGAATTTGTGGTGCAGATTAAATTCCTGACTCATTTCAAAGGTACTGGGGTTTACTTCCTTCCACTAAATATCCATCCAACTGTAGTGAATTTACAATAAAATATATAAACACTACTACTTTCAATTGCTTTTGCTTTACTTTTTTCTTCTTGAGACAGGGTTTCATTATGTAGACCATGATGGTTTTGAACTCACAAGAGATCAGCCTGCTTCTACCTCCCAAGTGCTAGGAGTAAAGGTTTTTTTGTCACTATGATCAGCTTTGTTTTAGTTTTAGTTTTAAATGTAAATTGACTGATTTCTTGCAACATATCCTGAATTACTATAAAAAATTCCAATGTTATGCAGCATGTGGGAAAATAAGAAACTGATATAATTAAATTAAAATGTCAAAAAATGTTAATATAAGCCAAGAGCTATAAAAGGTTAACTTAGTAGTTGTGTTAAAAAAGACTACATAAGTCAAAGCAATTAATTAAAATATTACAAAATGGTATACTTCCTAGCTGCCTCATTTAATAAGGATCAAAATTAGTTTTAAGGTAGGTGGCAGAGTAAAAACAGATCTCACAATTTTCCTAAGACATAGGATAAAAAAATTTTAGGTTTGTAAAACTAAGTACTAAAGATTGGTAAGAAGGTAACTTTTACCCATTTTCTTAAGAGACTAACATGAGCTACTTCTACTGTGTCATTTATTTTAGTTATTTTTTTAATATGCATGTGTGTGCATGCACATGCATGGAGAGGCAGTAGCTTGGTGTCATCCTCAAGGACCACACACACCTCCTTGCTCTAGAGCTCTCCACAGACTAGGCTGACTAACCAGTGAGGCCCTGGGAGCCCATTTCTGCCTCCCCAGCACTGGGATTACAAGAGCACCACCAAACCTGACATGTTTACATGGGTTCTGGGGATTGAACTCAAGGTCCTCATGCTTTTGAGGCCTATACCCACCCCCACTAGACAACTTAGGTATGTTTTCCTCCAAAGGTTTTGCTGGTAAAGCTCAGTTACTTACAATATGAGACTCATGCTCTGTTGTGTAATATATTTAGTTCTTATTATGAAATTAATTTTAAAGTCACCCTGACAGGAATGAAACCAATGGTCTTGAACCAGAGCTTTTCCACAATTCCAAGGCTGTGAAACTGAGGGAGAAAGGGTGGGATCGTCTACACAAATGAGCTCATGTGAAAGAGAACCTTAGCTCCTCTTGGGAACAGCACTGACTTTAGAACTTATTTCCTCCTAATAGGTCACTGTGGCTGTTCTGAAATAGTCAAGTGTGTATCGAAGAATCTCTGGAAAATTATATCTGGACATATTCATAGGACATATGACTAACACCAATCACCTCTGTTAATCTCTTTTGCTCAGAAAATATAGGCAAAAATTTTACTTCTAACAAAATACTAAAAAATAAGTCCTAGTTAGATTCTTCAAGAACAGAGAAATAAATATTTAAAGGAATTAAAAGTGCCTGTGTTTTACTTTAGGTCTCCTGCAAACCTCAAATTCCTGGAGTGTAATCTCAGGAACACAGATTTGAGCATGATGGTGAAGAGCCGATGACGTCTCTGTCATACCCACAGGGGAGCAGAGAAAGGAAGACACAGCATGGCACTGGGCTTTCAGGAATGGCATCATTATGTGGTAGCATCAATTATTTTTAATGTCCCATTAACGTTCACACAAGGCAAATACAGTGGGCAGGAACAAGCCCTGGTTGGTGTCCCACTAAGTATTTCTTTATAAGCAAACCAGACAGAAACATAACTCTGTCACTCTACTTCACAAACCCCAAAGAGGGGAACAAAAGTTGAGTTAATAACCAGTAAACAGAACAGGAATGATTTCCTCAAGTCTGAAGACTTGTAAAGCAGGCATGACTGCTATCGATCACAGACAACCAGCCAGTACTTATTACTTTTATCACTGGAAAGGTCAGAAAGCATTTTGGTACAATCTTAAAATTAGATCTTAAGATGGCAGACATATATGCCTCGTTTCAATCTTACCACTATGAAAAAAGACCAAATTGCAATTGGCACTATATCCATATTTCTAACATTCTAGAACACACAAACGCCTTCTACTTCTTTCTGCAACAAACCTATGTATGGATGGCTCAGTGAATGATATGCTCACAACATATGGAATTAGACAACGTTTAAAATGAACCCTTCCTCAAGTCAAGATAGCTACTTTAACCACAAAGATGAAACAACTTGATTGCTTCTTCTACTTATTCTATCCATCCACTGAGAACTGAATAATATACAGTTAGTTGTGGATTGCACAGCCATGGAATTGAGAAAAGCCAGGAAGTGACAGTGAGTGAACATGGAATTATGATGATGAACACTATCAAGCATTAACCACCACCAAGATTAGCCAGTAGAAGCATTGAATCCAGTCTGTAACTGTAATATTCCTTGATTTAGATGTAAGAGCAAACAAGAAGCTAACTATGTATAACTGATTCTTTCTTCCTGGGCAACATTTGTTCATAGTTTTAAAACTTCTGTGATTCGAGTGATGTGAGATAATTAGTTTAAGATCTGCATATAAATGCATAATCATTACACTTGCTTCACTGTGATAAAAAGTGTACAGAATGCAGGGACTGACCCGGTGGAGCTTTAACCTAGTGGTTAAAAGCACACTTTTAAGGACTTCACGAAAGCTTCAATACCTAAGTATTGAGTGACTCAACTGGACCACATAAACAACAACTCACAGCTTCATCCTAAATACATATCCATGGACACTCACAGATAACCTAATTTTCCAAACCTAAATTCCTGTATTTTAGCTTACATTCTGGGCTTTGTCTACACTACCCACTTTAGGGGGTATGATGTATCTTTGTAATTCAGTTTGTTAAAAATAATTTCTCATGACTGGAGCCCATCAACCGATTAAGGCAACATGATCTCGGCAGAAATGGCTGATTAGTGTGACGTATCAGTAGCCCCCGTAAACCATCCATCACCTTGCGCTTCTGTTGGGCATAGCTCGTGCTATACTGGCCAGCGGCTCTGCGTGCTTCCTCTTCGTGCTCTTGAATTTGCTGTTGTAAGAGAATGAGCTCACCAAGCAGACCCTGCCATGAGTTTACAATGAGGAGAAGAGGAAAATTGGGGAGGAGAACAATGTTAAATCAAAGGGTACAACGGAAGAACAGATGCAAGATAGGGAGGAATGGATAGCTTACAACAAAAATGGAAACGCATGCACCCACAGTGCCATCTCACAGATGGGCTCTGCACCGCAGTTCCATTTTTCCCCTCAGTAAAACTGGGCATATCAGAAAAATCAAATAGCGTGGCTTAAAAAGTGAACATGAGAGTGCAGTGACCGCTGACTTAACAGCCAGACAGACAATGTCAACACAGAGTGAAACTAGACTAACAGACACGCTCAAGGAAGACAGCAAGGCCGGCCCCTCGATTTCTTGGTAAACTCTTCACAAAATTGCCAGTGTGTATTAACTAATGTGTGCTGTTGACTTGAAATATTCCATAACCAGGTTAACTGCAGTTTTACTTTCTAGGAGTGTTTTGACATAAAATAGAATAGCCTCTGAGAAAGTAACTGAGCATATACTAATTACAAACAAAATAAAACACCAAAAATATATTTAAGATACAGAGACAATATAGTTGTTATGAAAAGTAAAAAGTAAAAGTCAGTTGGACCATATTACCTTTCTAAATTTTACTTCTAACATAGATTCTACTCAATCATTAAAGGTGAAGCTGGTACACTGGGAGCACACTGCATTCACATGTGGCACAATTCTAAAACACATGTGGCCTTCTGTGCTGCCTACTGAGCTAAGGACCCCTTTGCATTGTGAATTGTTGGCCTGTGAAATAGCCAACTTTGAGATAAGTGAAGAAAAGGACAACTAAGAATCAACAGTGATACTAGACTGATTTTCTATTTTATTTTATTTTATTTTATTTTATTTTTGGTTGTGAGCCTAGCCTTTAAGGGCTGAGCTATCTCTCCAGCTCGACTGATGTTTTCTCAGATAAACTAGATTGGTGAAGTTCCAACAGACAATTAATTTGAGCACCTAGTGTGCTCAAAAACAATGAGTTCAGACTTACCAAGTCATAAAACTAAAGGCAAGAGAGCTAATAATTACTAAAACAACCTAAATAAGGACTTTAAAAAGTTTCAGATTTTAAAAAATAATTGTCAAAAATACTGTTCTGTATCATTAGGAAGTTTCTTAAATAAAAATGCTAGTTGACAGTACATTCAAATTTTAGTTTGTAGAAGGCTTACTTAATTTACCTTATATAACCCAATAAATTAGGCAACCATAAAAAGGTTCCTAAACATAATTCAGAGGGGTGATTTGCATTACAGTAAAACATTTTAAGTTATAGAAAAATTGATAAGAAGTTTGAATTTTGTTTTAGTCTTAGTTTAGATATCATGATTACTGTCAGTATCAGACAATGAGTAAAACTGACTGATTTGTAACAAATCAAAGGATGAAAGCAGCTGACAAGAGAAATGTCAACATCTTTTTCCAGATTCAATAGTATAAAAGGTACTCCTAAAACTCAGTGCTATCTTTCAAGATATATACATACATATGTATATATGTAGTTTTATGATCATTGACAAACTTATCAAAGTCACCGTTATCTTAATTATTCCCATCATTTTTGTCATTCCATACATCAAACAACAAAAAGTAATTTAGCAGTGTTATTCACTGGCACATTTATCTTGATCATGTATTGTAATCATCCAAGGATTTAGATGACACAAACAACTGCCTTTAAAGAAGGCTTCCTGTGTTAGCCTGCAGGTGTGTCCAACCCAAGGCCCATGGGCCACATGCAGCACAGACTTACTTAAAACCTTGTATTTGTTTGACTTTTTTATAAAGTCAACTGTGCAGTTTTCAAGTGTGAACTTTGTAAATGACAACCAGTTTTAGTGTCAAAACGTTGGACATACCTGGTAGTAGACCTGTTAATATTTACAAACCACTAATACTCTAACTTATAAAAAGCCAAGTAATTTTGACTTAGCTTAACTACCCCACTGTGAATCACTGCTTATAACTAAACCCAGCTGTACAGTTAATATGATAATATCTATGGAACTATCAGCAAATACTCTTTCTAGTGACACCTCACTTTCCTTCCAAGTCTGTTACTGAAGCACTGTTATGTGAAGATAGGTGAAATTAACTGTTACCTCCTAAAAAAAAAAAGTAGGAGAAAACAAGAATTAGACACAGAAAAAAAAACTATTTACACTATGCTATGCAACTTAAAATAACTTTTCCCAAAGAACCAAATAATAAGCTGTGCAGCTGCCAGTCTCTGAGCAGGTAGAACAACAGCCAAGAGACAGATGGACCAGACACACAGATATGCAAAACACACCTTTGCCAGCAACACTCTCCTGAGCTTAAACTCTTTCTCTCAAGAAACAATCATTTAAAAGACATTATATATAAATCACAGTAACTGTTAAAAATCACAATGATTATGATTACCAATTATAGAAGGTAAGTTAATTTACCATGTAACTCTGGCTGGCTATGTAGACCAGGTGGTCTCAAACTCACAGAGATGCTCTTGCCTCAGCCTCCCAAGTGCTGAAATCAGGGCCTCAAGGTTAAATGTTCTTGTAAAAGAGACGCCAGTAGCTGCCTAGCCCCTTCTGCCATGTAGATGGACAGTACTCACCACACATCACACCTGCTGGCATCTTACTTACTCTTGTATCCCAGCTCTAGGATTGTGTGGAATACATTTCTGTTGTTTATAATCCACCTGTTTATGGCCTTTCTTTTATAAAGCTTCAACAGGCTCAGATAATTACCTCACTTGCTCTGTTACCAAGATGGGTCTCAAAGGCCTGGCTTCCAGCAAGCCTCCTATCTCAGCCTCCAGAGTGGCCGATACCATAGATATGCTCCACTTTGTTTAAAACCTAACAACTTAAATAAAGCAGGGTTTGGCACATGTTGTTGCTTGAGTGAGTCAAAACATAGCTGATTTTTACCTCTGAATCACCTGTAGTTTCTAGCTAAAGATAAGTTAAACTCGAAAACTCTTTTGAAGATACAAGGTCAGTCCTACACATCATTTCCCCATTTTTCACTATCTCCAAAGGAATTCATAACAAAGCAAGAAGAAATTTAACTCACAGCATGTTACCATTGTCCCCTAACTCTTAACAGCTTTATATTTATTTACATTTACTCCTCACAATCTTTCAAGAGGAACTCCTTTTTCAACAGAGGAAATGAGGAACTCAGATAAGCTAAACAATTTGTAGAAGGTTTCAGTTTAGATTCCAAAGTCCGCATCAGTTCCACCTAGTAATAGTGCACAGCTATTTTCAAAGTGCCTTTGGCTCATGAGAACCAACCTGCATTTCAAAGAGCACAAAGACAGGCTTATCTAGATTACTGCAGAGCAGCTGGCAGCCTTCAGTGAACAGGCTGAGCAACTGCTAGAAACACTATGGTCTGCAAACCTAAATAAAAGTATTTAACATTGGGACCCAAAAGATAATATTTGGCTAACTATATTTTGGTTTAGTAAAATAACTTTAGGCAATATTCCTAAGTGCTACTTTCCAAACTTTCAGTAATTCTGCTTATTTGTTTCATTAAAAACAATTGGTTTCCTAATATATAACTGCTCAAGATATTTATAAATGCAAAATTTATTATTGGTTGTCAAAATGAAATGTCTTTCCATTTTGGATTATTTAATTTGCTCCAACCAGAAACAGCATACTATATATTTTACTACTTGGACATTTTCTACAAATAGTTTTGAGATAAATAAAATGGTTACCAGTAACTACCAACATTATAATTTCCATTATTTTTTGTTGTTTCTAAGTGTCTACCTACAACAGTATAACTTATTGATACATGGTCATAGTATTTCTTAAATGATGTAAACAAACAGCATGCTTCTTACTAGTCAATGCAGTAAAGCTGTCTGCTTAGTCATTCTATTTTTCCTCAGGGCCATTTCCCCTACTTTTCTTCTGATCACTCCATTTCTAATCTACTAAGCATACAAGTGCTGTGAATTCTTGCCAAGAGCCCTACTTGCAGCTTTTAGCTGTGCAGGAAAAGAATTCTTCAAACCCGTGGTTACTTGATGGTGCTGGCTTACAAACCCTGAGTCCACTCACTCACTAAAACAGGCTCACCTCTTCAGTTCCTAATTTGGCTTCTGAAGTTTTAAGTTCTCCAGATTCCAAGAATTTTACCAAGGTCACGTGAATATTTCTTACAGTGAATAAAAATTTAAAACTTTTTTCCAAATTTTAAACTTTTGATTAACACAACCCATTACTATAAAGTAGTATTACTACACGCCAATCATACCTCTATAAAGTAGTTCAAGCCAAATGTGAATTTACTACCCTTTTCAATGTTTATTAACAAAATTACACACCAGAACTTTTGATCAACACAGAATGAACAGTGTCTACAATCTAAACAGATATAGGTTTGGGTATAAGCAAAGAAAGGGATGACTGTTTAGACTGTGCAATGCCATATGCCTTCTGTGCTTTCTGAAGATCTCCTTTGTAATTTTCCAGACACAGACAAGTCTAGTGAGCTCAGGACAGGAAGCCACCAGCTCAGTGTTGTTCATTTTGACTCAGGCCACACTATCTGTGTTCCCTCAATTCCCTTTGCTTTCAGCTGGCTTTGAGCAGTTTCTCTACTGTCAAGACTTTCTTTCCCCTTTGTGTTTTCCCATTAGAAAGAACAGATCTTCATTTCAGTTCTAGTTGCAGAAATGTATTCCATTTACTACTATTTTAAACAATTATTTTGCATTGCATTTATTATTCTAGTAAAGACGTCTTGCCAGAAACCATAACCATGAACCTGACAACCATTAAACTTAAGCATGACTGCTCTAAACACTCACTACAACTTAGATGAAATCAGGCACATTTAGGCTGATATGGCTGTTGATCAGACTATAATCTTAATGAGTACACCTTAAGAGTCAAGACTAAATCAACTAGAAGTAACCAGAGAAACTCTGGATGTCACCCTAGCACTTCTGATGATCACTCAATTCTCTCTTTCTTTTCTTTTCTTTCTTTCTTTCCTTCCTTCCCTCCCTCCCTCCCTCCCTCCTTCCTTCTTTCTTTTTTTTTTTTTTGAGACAGGGTTTCTCTGTGTAACAGTGCTGGCTGTCCTGGAACTTGCTTTGTAGATCAGCTTGGTCTCAAAGTCACAGAGGTAGGATCTGTCTACCTCTGCCTCCCAAGTGCTGGGATTAAAGGAGTGTGCCACCATTCCTGGCCAATCATTCAAATCTTTAAAACTGATAGCTGGGGGTACTGAAGAGACAGCTGAGTGGGTAAGAGAACTGACTGATCTTCTACAGGGTAAAGGTTTGATTCCCATAGCAGCTCACAACTGACTCTAAGTCCAGTCCTAGGGGATCTGACACCTTTTTTGGCTTCTGTGGGTACCAGGCACACAGGTGGTGCACAAGCAAAACACCCATACACATAAAAAAATAAACAAATAGAAACTGACGTCTGAATAATCTCAGAAAGGCTACCACTGGCTCAAGTCTCCTTGCATGATGATATTCAGACATCACTTTGTAGGCAAGGTCATCAAATCACATCAACTATGTGTATCTTGTCTATATGGCTTATATTACTCTCAAGTATTACAGGTAAGAGTAAAACCTTAGAAATAAAACACTGTGCATCAAAAGAACTAAAAACTATGAGTGCAGCTGGACATGCTTTTATTAGATTAGCATTTTCTGTAAATTGATTTAACATGTATTAAAAGCAGCATAGGTAAAATTCTAGACTTAATATTTACAATAAATCACTAGAAAATTGATAAGCTTAAACAATTTAATAAACATTTTAAGGTTTTGTGTATATGCTTGTATATGCATGTAGAAATGTACATGTGAGTCCAGTATCCAAGGACTCCAGAAGAGGATGCCAAATCCTCTGGCACTAGAGTTACAGGTGATGGCACCTTGTGTGGGTTCTCTGAAGTCCAGGAAGTGCCCTAGTAGCTGAGTCATACCTTTAGGCCCAATAGTTAAGTTTTAATAGGGAAAAGTAATTATCATAAATTAAGAAAAAGTTTAACGAGGCTACAAGGGACATTTGCTATCAAACAAAGGAGTGCATTTTTAAAAAAGCAACAAATTTTCATGTCAATTGAGTAAAACCAAATCTATAAGAATAATTAAATTCCCAAAGATACATTCTCTTGTTTCATCTAAACTGCAGAGGTCAATTATAGATCATTCGTTTATCATCTTGGCAGAGTTTAGGGGACTTAACTGAGTTGAGTCTAAAATCAATTCTTCATTTACTAAAGTGATCCCAACGCCGTATCAGTGAAAAGCAGACATTGACATATCTAATTGATTTAAGCAAAACAGCTGCTGCTCAAGGGTCTATATGACCATACCTGCCGAAAGGGTTTCCTCTCAGATTACTTCATCTTGTCACATTATGTTTATTTGCTGTCTTGGCCATGGCTTTCCCTGGCTCAAAGTAGTCACATTTGATAAGCTACTTTCCAACCCTACCACTCCTCCTCATGCACAATCAAGATGTTCCCTAATTAAAATGAAAGCAAATATTTATTCTATAGTAAGTTTTACCTAAAAGGTGACAGAAAATAAATCTTGGAAATATCTTTAAAATTTGGAATAGCATAAAAAAGGTCCAAGCTGAAAGAAATGGAAATAGAGAAGTCATTTCTTCTTTCTGTTCAATAATCATAAAATTATTCCTTTCCTATAATGCTTTAAAATCCAGTATAAACTACACAGTCCATATTTAACTTAAAATGTTTATAGAATATTTTGCTTATAAACTTATTTTTTGGGCTGGAGAGATGGCTCAGTGGTTAAGAGCACTGACTGTTCTTTCAGAGGACCTAGTTCAATTCCCAGCACCCACGTGGCAGCTCACAACTGTCTGTAACTCTAGTTCCAGGGGATCTGGTACCTTCACCCCAATGCCCATAAAATAAAGGTTAAATAAATTATAAAAAAGAAAAAAAAACTTATTCATCAAGTCATTATTTTTACAAAACTTTACATGTAATTATTTCTTTTTCCAGTTCAAAAAGATGATGAAAGTAAAAACTAAGACTGTAATAGCAGAGCATAAACTAGAAATGCAGAGTAACTCATGTTAACACCTATTCTGTAATGTTCACATGGAGTTTTCTGAGAATGTATTAAAACTGGCCTACTCTCAATGGCTCATCATACACAGTCATGTAGGTTCTCAATCTGTATGAACTGACTCATTCACTAATAACTCACTTTCTGTTCTCTCATATCTTTTCCCCTAAAATAACGTAAGTCTCCAGGAGAGCAAGTAGGTTCTGTGCATCAATCTGCCCTTTATATCCGAGTAATTCTGGAGAGCTGTCTACAGCAGCTTTTCTCACATGTATTTTATAACGAACCCTTGAATGGTTATTTCATAGAGCACAACCAGAGGGGGTGGTCATCCAAGATTCTATCCCAGAGCTGCCGCATTAACACCTGCAGTTGTCACTTAGTAAGCACACATTATTTATGTTTTCTAGTACGGGATTAGCATTTTCAAGTACTTGAAAAATAAAGGAAAAGTCAAGGTTTTCAGGACTCCATACTTACCTTCCTATAATGCTTGTCACTTTCGGATCCATGATCTGTTGCTCTAAATGCTGTTTCTCCTGGTGAACCTTAAAGATAAACACACAGTTCTTTAAATTTCCCAGTGATGTGAACAGCCCTAGCTAAATTCCAAATTACCTCAAGCAATTAAAAAGTAAGTGGGGTGGGAGACTGAGGATACAGCCCGGTGGCAGAGTGCTTGTCTAGTATGCACTGGATCCCAGCACTATGGGATGAAACCGAATCAAAACAAACCCAGACAGGCCAGAAGCACTTAGAGCTCAGGAGATGAAGGCTGGGCTCAGCAGTGAGGTCCTGGCTCAAGTGAAACCAAACAAGGCTCAAAGAATATGTTTTTATTTTTAAGAAAATTCCTGGCAATCAATGTCAAAAAATTTCAAAATTCATTTAAAAAATATAAATGACAATTATGACAAAAATGAGGAATCTTTGGTAAGGATATTTTTAAACAAGGGAGTACTTACAGTTTAGCCAAGTACCACTGCCATCAGACAATGTATATGATACAAAGCAAATTTAAATGTCACCATGACAGGGCAGATGAGACAAGCTAAAATTACTTTTCATTGCAATTATCAAAAAAGGTTTTTTTTCAAGAAAACACTTTGGCTAAGCAAATAGTCATTTAATAATTTTCAGTCATATATTTAGCAATTTTAGTTTTGTCATAAATGTAATTCTTTTATTGTTTCCACCAAAAGGATATAAATTTGCCTAATATAGTTCTGGGTTTAAAGATGAGCATATATAAGCAGGGTTATAAATTTGGTCTGCAATTTTATTTGTGACTAGTTTATTAGAAGCATTTAAAAGGCATGTTAAGGTCAGCAAAAATGTCTGGTTACACACCTAACAAGAGAAGTGGGCCAGAAGCGTCTATGACTTCACTAACCAATGTGTGACCTGTGAAAAATCAGCAAAACGGGAAATAAAAATTTAATAAGACTAAGCAAAGATGTCTGAGATTTCAGACTTACGTTATATTGGGGTAACACTTAGGCAAATACGCCAGGCTAAACCTTATAAATTGCACTGTATATGACCTATAATTATTAAGTTTGTTTTAAAGTAACAATACTGGCTCTAAGTAATTATGAAAAGCAAATACATAGGTAGTCTCATCTACTTGTCAAGAAGCAATATTTTCTTACTCACCAACTAAAAGCCAAGTACACACTTTCTTACCAATTTTCATTTGATTAGACTAATGATTAAAAGTATTGTGCAAACTTTGTGTTTATCTTGTGTTAAAACAAAATGCTTTAGGGTTTGTTTTAAAATGTTTTAATCTAGAAGATGAGAACAAATACGAGCACCCATGTCTTTTCTCTGAGGCTCCTAAATCTTGAAGTCAGATGAAAAGTCGCCCTTACCTGCGGTGAAGAAGTCCTTCAGTAGGTTGAGGCTTTCCGCAATCTTGTCCAGGTCGGGCGCTAACTTGGCAAGGTCTTCCGAACTGGGAAGGGCTTTTCTAATTTTCTCTAGAGAAGACCAAATGGGAGTCACACACAGTCTCACAGCAGGATATAGCAAACATATTCAGTCTATAAACATGTCAACTTGTTTAAACCTCATGCCAGTCCTACAAAATACTTCCTACTATCAACTCCACTTATAGTTGAAAATCTTAGAGCACACAGCAGGGAAGTGAGGAGCCAGGGTTCAAGATCAGGCAGCTCAGAATCCAGACTCTGTCACTACACAGAGAAACTGGCACATAAATACATTATGTTGCACAGCACTTACAGGTATTCTTTTTTAAAAAATGAATCCCTTTCCTAAAAATACCTTTGTTAACATGGTTACCTTTAAGAAGTACTATGATGAAGCACTTATGCAGATTAATTCCACCTCCATATGTCTTAAAAAGGGACTGATGGAAATACTTCAAACCTTTTAAGCTCATCACGAGTTACTGAGAATCAGCTACTGCTGTTCTTACCTACTTGCCAATGGCAGGGAGGAGGGGGGGCGGTGTTTAAGAGGTGAAGCCACTTTGCACACTAACAGACTTTTAAGGAACTATGCTGAAAAATGTATAAATAACTAAGGTAGTTAACCAAAGAAAAGGGGTTTCGATTAGGGTCCTAGTATGTATGATGCAAGCAATATTGTATAATACTGAAAATGGTATTTGGAAAGACTGCCAGCAGTATGGAAATGCAGAGAGGATGTGCTAGGTAGCAAAATACAAAATACCAAGATACATATCCCCACAACTATATAATTTTTAAATAAGAAACCAAAATGTTAGGCACATTCAACTAATACTCAAAACCAGAAGAAAATATTCCATAAGAGTGGTGGCAGCCAAGTTAAAATGACAGACTGTTAGATACTTAGACTTTTTTCCCTCTGGGTTGGCAAAATGGCTCAGTGGGTAAAAGTGCTTGTTGCCAGTCCTGTCAACCTGAGTTTGTCCCTGTATCTATAGGATCCCTCCCCAAATGTCTTCTGAGCTTTACATGCATGCCTTGGCAGGCACACGTGCATCAGCGTGTGAGTGCACAAAGTGTAATGTACACTCACACACAGATATAAATAAGTGTAACAAAATTAATTTTCTATCAATTATTACTTTCATTATTAAAATAAAACGATCACATATTGAACTCAAAAGTTTAAACTATCAATGCAACTATTTCTCTTCCCACCTGCCCAACACAATCCAAAAGCTAATTTTAATGTTGATGATACAAACCCAAATCAATATACTCATCAATTTCCCATATAAAGTCAGGCACAATCCACTTATAGTCACTAAGGTCTGGTATCATATCTTTCCATTCATCGAAGGTCTAAAAGATAAGAATATATGTCAATTAGACATTCTAAATGCCATATACCAATATAAAGAGAAAATATGTTGATGAAAACAATCTTCTAGGAAATATATCATGTACAGAACCTTTATGGAACAAATTCATGTAAACCCAGGTCTTTTAAGAAAAAATCAGCAGGTGAGTATAAAAATAAATATTTTATCAAATGTGGGAAATGTAAAACTCAAAACATTCCTATTCCAAACATGGCTCGTGTTGGCATTAAATAACACCATGAAGCAAAAGGAAGATGGATCAGGGAGAAGTCACCTTGCCTCTGGAACCAGGGCTCTCAGAAGTAGCCCCGTGAACATGCTACCCGACTTTCTCCCCTGTGCTACCCAGTGGCAATGTCCAGAACCGAATTTAAGTGCTCTTACTCCCAGAGCAGGGCTCCATCTCCCAGATCATCTACAGTTATAGTTAATATTTAAATGGTACCATTGAAACAACAGGGCATTGTAAATATGTACATGACAATTTCTTTCTTCTAGGCTATGCAAATTTATGGTATTTTGGAATAATCAGAACTATAGTAAGAAAGTAAACTCACTTTTTTTGCTGTATAGCCACCTCCAACAGCAGATCCCAGTATGATATATCGAAGTTTTAAGAGCCTTGCAGCTAACCTTGCTGGCCAAAAGTTCCTGCGGGGCTGGTAGCCATATTTAATTGGAGAAAGTTTTAATTTATGTAGAGGAAGGTTAGTTAGAGAAGAGAACTGCTGACACGACGTCCTTAGTTGGGGTCTTTGAAGCTTTAGGGCTGGATGATGTGAGCAATAAATACTTCGTGAAACCAGATGTAGCTTTTGGAGTGGTAAGTTTCTTTGTATATCAGAGCTGTGTTTCACTAACAATTGGCAGACTTCACTGAAAAACAAATGAGGATGGGAGACACATCAGAGAAGGTAACAATACCTAGAAACTAACAGAAAAGAATGCACCTGCATATTAACACACTATGTCCTATCACATGATAGCTTACATTGGCTGTGGCCAGCTCATTCAATCCTTCTGAAAACCCTGCCATGAAAATAATTACACTAGCCCCATCTATGGATGAGGGAAAATGTGGCACAAAGGTACAAACACAAGATGCCCAAGAAGACACTAACACAGGAGTGAAGGTGGACTGTAACTTCAGGCACAGGGACGCCGGACTTTACATGGTAATTTACTATATATATGTGGGCTGTGATACTACTGGTTCAAGGAATTAAAACCAAAGAAGGAAGAGGTGGGTACTAGTTACCAACAGCTGTGCACTATAAAGGCTGCTAACAAAAGGGCATGCAAAACTCTAGCAGTCAAGAATATCTGCTTGCTCTGCCTCCCAGTCCCAAATTAGCCCAGAAATGGAAATTAACTTAATCTCATATTAAAGACCAGGTTCCTTAGGAAAATGCAAGTAGCAGAACAGCCCCTAAGAGACTTGAATCTCAATGTACATGCTAAGCGCCCGAGCTCTACCCTACCCTCCTTCCTGCACAGAAGAGAGCATCCGCACAAGAAGCCTACATGCCCTATCTTATTCAACCACATCTGGTTCCATCCTGTGGGTGAGGCCCAACACTAAGGAGTGTTAGGATGTCCATTCATCTAGCTATACAAAGTTGAGGATGTCTCACAGAAAAAGCATAACAGGCGACAGGTCTCGTTTCCATTATGTCACACATACTATGCTAGATGCTTTCACAAGCCCAAGATGGGAGAACTTGAAAGAATACATAGCTCTTTTTATAAACCTGTCTGTTTAAAGATGTCTTGCCTAACAGTGAAAAAGAGGCTAACTAGGTTCTGTCCTGTAGTAGAGCCAGAGCTCCATCTCCAAGAGCTGATGCTGGGCAAGTGTGGAGAGCAGCACATGTGGAAACACATGCAACACTGGAAATGGGGCTGCGGGGACATTCTGGAGGACACAGCCTTGCTGCGATCCAGCGTTTTGACTGTGCCACCCTCCTTCTCACCTTGGGGCCTGCAAAGAACTTAGCAAAGGCTAGTCCAGAGTAAGGGCTTCATGTCACTTCAGTATTAATTGTACTGAACTTCACCAGTGTATGAACGAGTAAATTAGCCTTTTAACTTTCAGGGGTTATTTCTACTTTTAAGAAAGGTGCTAACCTAAAGGACCTAGATGAACTCCAAGACCAAGTGTGGCCCTAGGGTATTTAAGTCTTTATTTTCTCCCTCATTTCTCTCCAAATCCTCAAATATTCCTATTTTCATAATGGTGGCAGCAATAACCATGAGAGGCACGGACAGGATATTCAAAGTTAGTAGTTAGAAAGCTCACCGAAGGGAAGGCTATTCTTCACCAGGTATTCTATTTTTTAAGTTTAAAAAATGTTATTATTACTTATATTATGTGTATTGGTGTTTTGCCTTGCATGTATGTCTGGGTGTGTGTATGGTATCAGCAGAAGCCTTATGAAGCACTGGGTTTCCTGGAACTGGAGTTATAGATGGTTTTGGACTGTCTTGTCTGTGATGGTAATCAGACCCAGGTCCTCTGGAAGAGCAGCCATCCCTCTAGTCCCACAAAGTAGTCTTGATATATAGGTAAGAGAATAAAAGGGGAGGCAGGACAGCAATTGCCTCAGGAAGCTGAACAATCTATCAGGGAAGTCCTAGGGATCCTAAGTGCATGTGTATGTGTGGAGGAAAGAGGCTTCCCAGAGCGAGCTGTCATCTATACCTGCCTGTCCATTCCATAAAAGCTCCAAAAGGAAAGTTGCTAGGTGAAATCATCGGTAACAGAAAACCCAGTTTGCTTAGTCATCCACCCCCCCTCATTAAGGAGCAGCACGGACAAAGCATCTGCACCAGTCATTGGCCCTTCATGTTTAAATGTCACCCTACAACCAGACCCCTACAGGGGCTCTTAGCATGCTATCATTGTATGGACAGGATCCTGAAAATACTGCACACTTAAATAAGAGCATGTTCAAAAATATTCGAGAATACAATGTTTATAGATTTAAACATTAAAAAGAAGCTTAGTGAATATTAAAAAAGCAGTTTATGGAAAGTTAAAACTGCACTTGCATATACATCAATAGCAGAAAAGAAATCAAGGATACTTGCTAGGACTCAGAATAAAGAAAAAATGAAAATATAAAAGCTATGATGCAAACAAGTGGCATCAAAGTGGGGGATGGGAGCCCATGGGGTACTCAGCAATGACCCACTGGGAACAGGGAATAAAGTACTGGATAGGAAGAGGCTTGTGCATCTCTGGGTGCCTGTGTAGGGTTGGGTTTTCTGTTTGTTTTCAATAAAGTTTCCCCCTTTTGGGCATATTCATAAACAGACTGTAATATAAAAAGGACTTTGCAACATGCAGTTTTATGACTTGGCCTACAACTTAGTGTATTACAAACATTTTCTCTTTTACAATGGTTAAGGTAATTGTGTAGGTTGGAGAAAACATCGACTAATCTTGCAGAGAGACGTATATTTAATGTCTTTCCAAGGTAACCTCATATCTTTTAAAAACATGTGGAGAAAAAAAGGGAGTCCATAGCTTTATTTTGGAAACGAATTACTGGACCTACCTAAGCAATCTCATATTTTTTAAAAAGTATTTAGAAAGAAAAAGAACAGATGCAATGGAAGGAAGAAAATAAAGTTGAAGAAAAATTTTGCAGAACTCAAGAAAGAGAGTTTTTGTTTTTTAAATCAAAGGTCAAGCCAGATGAGTGCTGAAAAAGAAACTCACAGTTGAACAAAGCCTTAAGAAATCTGAGACAAAGGACAAAGTCAAGAAAGCCTAAAAGCAGCTAGGAAAAGAAAAAGACTTCTTTATCTAAGAAGCTTAAAAACAAAACCCAAATGCGATGTAAAGTAGATCGCAAGTCATTTGTTGCTTAACTACCACATTTTTAGCTATATAGAACTGTCCAGTATGAAATTAATTTTTCATTATTTCTACACAAATACTTATTGAACCCCCCAAATTTTGGTCATCAATCTTCCATTTGACTTGTCCAGGAGGAGTATTTCTATGTGTACATAAAAAGCTTGTTTCCATCTTATGACTAGAGTAGGACTATGCTGCAATATTCCAGAACTTGCATAGGAACTACAGCAAAAGGCAAATTCCAGGGCTTGGGGCTTTCTGGCTTTCTCTATCCCCAGTTCTGACATTTGCTAAAATGTGCTTTGGCATGAGACATGCTAAAGCCATGACTGTGGAGCCCATAACTCCAGAAACAATTCAACCTCATGGCACACAACTGATCAAACAAACAATACAAACTACATCTCTTAATTTGTAAACTCAATTTCAAGTGTTTCCTACATACCTGGTTGTTTAAATGCACATTTTTCTGGTTTTATAGAAAATTAGAGGTTTCCACATTAATTATAAAATAGTAGAAATGCAAAAGTTGTAAGTAGCTTTTTTTTCAACACTAAAGCTTATGAATATACTCCTAAATTAAAATCCCATAAGATTTAAAATAACCACATTGTAGCAGAGGCAGTTCTACTTTTGGACTCTTCATTAACTCTCGACAAAACAAATGGGTTCCATTCTTTTTAAGTATAAGTCATTTACACCATTAAAAGCAGTTCCTGAGGCAGAGGCAGGGCTAGAGAGACGATTTATTGTTGAGAAAAAGGGCTGCTCTTCCAGAAGGCCAAGTTTGGATTCCAGCACCCACCTGACAACACACAACTGTCTGCTACCCTCAATCGCAGGGGACCGGGCACTGTGATCTGGTCGCCGTGGGCAGCAGACACAAGTGGCACACACACACACACATGCTGGCAAAACAGATATACACATAAAAAGGAAAGCAGAGATGGATGGAAGGGTTAGGAATGTTTGCTGTACCTGCAGAGAACCTGAGTTCAGTCCCCAGTATCCACTTCAGGCAGCTCAACTCCTGTAACTCCATCTCTAGGGGGATCCTACCCAGAGAGGGAACCTGTACTCTTGCTCATATCGCCCCTCCCATACACATAATTAAAAGCTCCAAATAAAATTTAAGATCAATGTTTAAAGGTGAAGTTAATTCAGGAGAACTACATTTTCCTAATCTTCTTAGGTGCATATAATGTCTTATAATTAACTATCTGAAACAATGTGTTAAGCTTGGAGGTTATTGGAACTACATATACAACATCAAATTTAATATCATTAAATTGCATACAGCAATTCACATAAATAAAAATATTTTATGATTTTCCTACTTCAAAACCAGACTAGGGCAACAATTGCAGCGTGATTACAAAAGTGGCGCCACACGCACCACGTTGTATCTAAAAGTGTACCTCAACACTGAGCAAGATCTCCTCTGAGGAGGGCATCTCTTCATGTGCGTCAGTCACTGCTCTAGATCTGACTTCAGCCAGAGGGTCAGGCAAAAAGGCCCAAGGAGCTGCAGGTGCCAAGTATACATGGCGTACGGCTGGAAGACGACAAGTAAATGAAACGCACAGATGGAGACACAAGGACGGAGCCAGGCCAGGAGAACAGCAACAATAAAAGCAGCAACGAGAGACAGGGATAACAGCGAGATCACAAGGGCAGGGGCAAAGGGGACGGCAATGACCGGCCAAGACTGAAGGCGTCCAAAATCTTCGAGCTGAACAAGGAGTGGTCACCGGCCAGCTCCGGTCACTTCGGGTGCTCAAACATTTGTGAGAATTCTCTTTTATGAGCCTCGGCCTGGCCTGAGGGTCACCTGCACATTCAGGAAGTAGTGATGGGACAACCCTGCTGTCCAAATGGCCCAGAACATGACATAACGGGGCCAGGTCGCAGGCCGCACTTACCAGGACACGGCCGCCTGGCGTGCTCGCCACATCCCGCCAGCGCAGACCACACACAGGCGCCGAGACGGCCACGTGGGAGCCCCGTGTCGGCCCCAGTCCGACTTCTGCTCCCGCAGTGACCCAGGAACAGGCACTCAGCAACAAGGGCATATAGCAGCCGCCGAGTCCCTCCCAATGGCGCATGGACTTCCGCAAGAGCCGGCCGGGTACCCGTAGTTAGTCCGTCACTGAAATAACTACCCACAGGAACGCTAGGGAGGCTGCGCAAACGAGCCACGGAGGATGCTCGCGCGCACCGGAAGTCTCTGGGCGGGACCCATGTAGCCCCATTCTCCAGCCCCGCCCTCCAAGTGTCCGGGTTGGGATTCTGAAAATGAACTCCAGTAGTAAAGCTTCGGTGCGAGAGGGTTGGGCGGGCTGTACGCATGAAATACATGCGATGAATATTTATTGGGTGCAGCCAATTTAGTGAGATCTGTTTAAAAGCATTTTCCGCACACTCTTAAAACTGGGAGGTCGACTCGTGGTAGGCTAGGTCCTTTAGAATGAGATCAGACCGAGAGAGACTTCGTACAGTTTAAGTCTAGGTTTGCAATAAACACATATGGTGTTTAATGAAAGCGCACATGATTTTGTTCATTCTCTCTTTCGCTGGCTTTCATCTGAATTTTAATGGCACTGATTTATTGAAATGGCTCTTGTCAAGGTCTCTTAACAACTCCGCATCTCACGTAATGGCCCTTCAGCAGCGTCCAGCTAAGCGCTCTTCTTAGTCTTCTTTTGACTTTCAAAGCATGAGAGTCATCTTCCCCTTTCCTTGTAACCTATTCCTCTCCATTTTCTCCCTAACCCCCTAGCTATCTGTTTTTCCCAACCATTCCTTAATGTTCGAAAGTTCCAGTCAGGTTTTGGGCATCTTAGATTCTTTTCTTTCTCTAGCTACATTTTCTCCCTAATAATACAAATTAGTTGCATCACTCTAAATATCTTTCATCTTCAATTAAACCATTTTGTATTTTAAAAAGGAAACTGGGGCTCATATAAGGGATATTGCCCGTGAAAGGTTATGAAGCTAATTAATGACATTAGTGGGAACTAAAGCCAGAGGGTCGTGTACTTCATCTTACTTCAAGGACACGTTCCTCTCACCCACTCGCACACACTCCTACGTCACCACCTCCAGACCAAACAAAATCCCTTTTCGCTTAGTTGTCAGATCATAAATCTGGATCCACCTACTCACAATACCAATACCATCAAATATATAAACCAACTGCCTGGCAGTAAACTTTCCTTCCTATTGCAGTATCCAAGGGATATATTTACTGTGGTGACTGTTTCAAGGGTAGTTCTAGATAGAAACTTGCTGTAACGACCAGTATAAACTGTAACTTTTCCTACTATTGTACTCAAATGTATTTTTTTTTACTATTGCTTCCTAATTTTTTTTTGTTTGGAAAATAGCAAAAGAGAGAAACCAAGGAAGAGCTGCTTCCGTCTGTAACTTCTCTTTGCATTTTACCAGGCCCTTGTTTTGTAATTCCACTTGTAGGCTGGAACTACTGAACTAGTGCAGATTATGTCTTCTGTTGTATGGAATAGCAAAATATTAGAATCGACCTGAAAGTCACTGAATAGTTAGCTAATTAAGTGCATTATATTCGTACTAGCCACAAAATCCTATGAGCTCTCTGTATCCTAATAGAGAATAGCATTTGAAATAGTTATAAAGGAAAACATTTAATTGAGGTGGCAGCTTACAGTTTTGGAGGTTCAGTCCATTATCATCATGATGGGACAAGGTGGCATGCAGGCAGACATGGTACTGGAGAGGTAGCTGAGAATTCTACATCTTGAAGGCAGCATGAAGAGGTCTAAGACACTGGGCAGTATCTTGAGCAGTGTATCACAGGTATCACAATCTGCTTTCACAATGACACACTCCTTCCAACAAGGCCACACCCACTCTAACTAAGTCACACTTCCAGATAGTGCCACTCCATTTGGGGGCTATTTTTTCTTTTTTTTTTTTTTTTTTGGTTTTTCGAGACAGGGTTTCTCTGTGGCTTTGGAGGCTGTCCTGGCACTAGCTCTTGTAGACCAGGCTGGTCTCGAACTCACAAAGATCCGCCTGCCTCTGCCTCCCGAGTGCTGGGATTAAAGGTGTGCGCCACCAACGCCCGGCGGGGGCTATTTTTTTTCAAACCACCACAATAGGTTAGACTAACGTAGGAAATTTGGCAAGTGGGGTACTTCAAGTAGTATTTTCAAATTGTAATGGGTTTACATGATGTCAACTTCATTGTATGTACATTGAGGAACATCTATTTATAGTGCTGGATAGGAAAACTAACCCAATTCTTAGGAAATTAAACCACAACAATCAGTCCAAATTCAGGCCACAGAGGGTGTTTTTATTTGTTTGTGTGGCTATACAATATTGGACTCCTTACTGTCATTTAAAACCATATACGTTTTACATTTAAATAAACCTGTTTCATTTAAATTATCAGAGAACATTAAGTCCTAATCTTTACATTTTCTGGGATGAGAAGCTAAGTAGGGTTCATAGTCCTTCCTGAAGCTGACCCCATCAATTGCTATGTTTATGGTTTTATTTTAACTTTTCTTAGAAACATCAAGAGAATTTTAATTATAAACCATTGTTTATATAAACAGTTATTAATTGATGTACTTAGAGGATCTGATGTTTCTAAAGGAATAAGAATCCTACCCCCAGAGAAGAGCATAGCTACACAAGTAAACTAAGTGATGTTCAAGGAATACAGTTGAATATGATATATAACAAATACTTGGCATGTTACTCGTTCATATTACATACACGATCCAAGGAGTATTTAGATGAATGAGCCTCAGTGAAAGACAGAGGAAAACTTTCATTGCTTCCTAACTGGGAGAGAGACCTACCCTTGTTTTTATTTGTTAACTTGTATATTATTTAAAACAAACAAAAATTTTAACTTTATCTTCTGGTCTAGGAGTCATGAAATAATTTTACTATTAAACTGAAATTATTTCAGGTTCAGTTAGGAACTGACTAGTCCAGCAGTTAAAACTCCCAAGGCATTTACCTTACTGTGCAAAGCAACACTTTTCACTTATCCAGTGACTCAGAGAGCTTTAAAAAGAGTAAAGAAATGCTATTGGAAATCTAGACATTTGTGTTTGTCCGTGGATGTGCATTTAAGGTTTTTATTAATTTTTTTGTTTTCCTGTAAAGTTCTTCTTGGAAGGTATCCAAGGTCCCCGGTATTACGTTTTTTTCTCTGTGGTTTTCTGGAGAAATAGGCACCTGAAGGCACATGCATTTGCATGTCGTCATTATCAAACCCTCCCAGTGCTCAGAGAAGCACGCTACAATTATCATCAGCCATGTGTAAGTCTCTTCTCATCAATATTGCCTGCACTTAATAAAAGACTCAGAATTGTTAGGATGGTGCCATTCCTCAAATTAGTCTATTTTTAAAAAAGACTTACTCTTACTTGTATACATGTGCTTGTATTTCACGTTATGTGCAGTGCCTGAACATGACAGCAGAGGGCAGCAGCTCCCTTGAAGCTGGAGCCACAGGCATTTGGGAGCTGCTAGGTAAGGATGCTGGGAACAAACTCAGCTCGTCTGTAAGAGCAGTAAGCACTATCGAGACATCTCTCTAGCCCACACCTGTGTGTTTGTAATCATTATAGGACGTTGATGAAAAATTCTATAGTTTACCTAGAAATATAAAAGACCAAAATGTTAAAAAGAATATTTGAGGCTGGAGCCTTTACATCTACCTGATCTCAAAACTTACTACCAAACAACTGGTAGGTATAAGGATAAATATACCCAAGGACAAGAATAGAAGATTCAGAAATAGATTTCAAATTGTGTAATGTGATGGCGAGTTTTAAATTAGTTTTTATTATGCATATCTGACACAGAACTTATACTTAAGATTACAGAAGAAATTCTTTTTACGGATTTTAATTCCAGTTGTGAGGTATTAAGGGAGTAATTTACTACAACTCTGGTGTATAGAAGCCTTAGGAAGTGCTGAGGGTGCAGAAGAGTCAAGAGGCTAGAGCCTGTGATTGAACATTGTCAGCTTTACCGGAAGAGAACCATCAGAGGAGATATGCACACATGTTTCCTGCCTCTGGTCATGCGATGGCCCGCGCAGCCTCAGTGCTCCTCCAGCACAGATGCCATTACCAAATGCAGCCTTTTCACCTTCAATGAGGAGTGGACCAAAATAAACCTCTTTTCCTTAAAATGCCTCCCATAAGTTCAGATGTAGCATGAAGGACTATGTCATATTGACCCTCAGGGATACAGAGAGATGTTACTAGTTATCCAGGAAATGGAAAGTAAAACCACAACACCATCACGAAGACTGCTAAAAATAAAAAGATGGATATTACCAATTTGGCAAGGATGCTGAGCAATCAGAACTACCTGGCACTATTGGTGGAATGCAATAATACCGGCCCTTTAGAAAAATACTTTACAGATTCTATCAAATTAAACATGTGCTCCTTAACAGGTGGTAATCCCAGTATTCTGGAGGCAGAGGCAGGCAGATCTCTGTAAATTCGAGTGAGTTCCAGGACAGGCTCCAAAGCTACACAGAGAAACCCTGTCTTGAAAAAAAAACAGAACTCCCCCCCCTAAAATCACAAAACAAAACAAGAAACAAGCCAAAAATCTCCTCTTACACAGGTACTTCATCTCTTAGGGGTTTGTATAAGAGAAATAAGAATAGGTACATGAAGAGGTGTGCACAAAAATGTTCATGGAATTTTATTTACAATGGTTTCAAACTGGAAGTGTGTATGAACAACAAAATGGATAACTGGTGTGTAAAACAATGGAATATTCAACAGTGAATGGGGATGGACTATACAGATACATTTAACAACATGATCCAACATAAATAATCTAACAGACATGCCTAAATCAAAATATGATATACTGTGTAACTCCAATTATATGGTGTTCTAGAATAGGGAAAAGTAGTGTGGAGACTAAAAACAAAACACACATTGGGGACACGGGCAGTGGAATTTCTTTTCATCACGATAAGACTCTGAATTGCATAAGCATATCCATTTGTCAAAATGTTCAGATAAGATTTGTGTATTTGTAAGTCTTGTGTCCAAAGTATATGATGTCTTCAGCAATAAGACTTACTTCCAACCTCTTGTGGCAACTCAGGGCAA